CGAGGTGGTCACCGATCCCACGGCACAACGCAGCTTTGCAAATGCCCTACAGTCATATTTGGGACAGAATTCTCTGGCGGAATCATTGCTAGTCATGTTGGGGAACTGCAAGGAGCTGCCGGCCACCACATATCTGAGCATGCTTGATTTAATGCATACCCTGCTCCGTTCCCATGTGGGCATTGATTACTTTGTGGATGATGCTTTTCCTGTTACCCAGACGATTGTGGCCATATTGCTGGGCTTGGATGAGGTTCCCAGGAATCCAGAGGAAGAGGAGACTAAGCCGGAAAAGTTGGAGCCGGAGGACAAGCTAATGGAAGTCACAAGCGAAGGAGGGGAGGCAGGAGTCGACAAGCCAAGTGTACCAACAGCCGATGAGGAAGTGAAGCCTGCTCCAACCTCGGTTCCTGCTTCTGCTCCCGCTTCAGCAACAGTTCCAGCTCCTCAAATGCGACCCAGGCCGATCCTTCGCCCAGTGCTGCCACGACTTGCCAGATTGGGCATCGAAATGTCCTACAAGGTCCAGACACGTTACCACTTGGACGCCATTGTGTACGCAGCTGCGGCTCCTGATTACGATGCCGTCAAGTTGGCTACTCATATGCATGCCATCTACTCGCAAACCTGCGATCCCGCTGGACGACAGCACACCGTCGAGGTGCTAGGCCTGAATAACAATCTGAAGATCTTTATGGATCTGATCAAAAAGGAGCAGCGCCTGCAGACACAGCGACAGCTTAGTTCGCCGGGCACAAAGTATAAGAGCCCGGTGTTGAGCTATGCGGTGGATATGGTGGACGCTTGCGTCCGATATTGCGAGCAGTTGGACTACCTTATCGAGCATGGAGGTGTTATCCTGGAGCTGGCCAAGAACCACGAGACCTTCGAGCCATCGGTGTCGGCAGTGTTGCAGGAGATGTACGTATATATGAAACCCCTGGAGGCCATAAATGTTTTCGTTTATGATGACATTATGCCGCTGGTGGAGGTGATAGGCCGCTCTCTGGACTACCTTACCACTTTCCCGGGAGATTTGATTATGGCCCTGCGGATTTTGCGATACCTCGCAATCAGCAAACCTGTTGCAGGTCAAAAGGCTCCTCCTGTGACCGAGGAACTGAAACATCGGTTTGTGGCCCTGCAGCTATATGCAGCGGACGGCGTTCAGCTCTGCATCCAGATTATGGAGCGCTTGTGTGCCTACTTTGAGCAGCCCGGTGCGCATGCTCCCGCCTTGATGACCATCCAGGGAGTGCATTGCTGCCAGATCATGCTCCCCACCTTGCAGATTCTTCGAGAACTGCTGTCCTACGCGATCCTGTGCAGAGATGGCACCTACAAGGATCTCACCGCCATCGATCACCTGGTGAAGGTGTACTACTTGCTCTACTACTATCCCACGCGCTGCCAGGCGGGTCCCGAGGTGGAGCAGTGCAAGATGGAAGTGGTACAGACGCTTCTCGCTTATACCCAGCCGAATGAACAAGACGAGGAGTCGCTGCACAAGTCGCTTTGGACGCTGATGATCAGGGAGGTGCTCAAAAACGTCGATGGCCCCGCGCACTTTATTCCAGGTGAAGAGAAATTTGATAAATAAGCTCGAGATTTAAAGTTCCTTCAACTAATATGTTTCATATCCCTTAAAAACAGGACTTAAACTCCTCGCAGAGCTGCTTCCTCTCCCTCTGCCAATGCCGCAGCCACTTTGTGACCAACTGCAGCAGCAGCACAAGCAGCGTCTGATCACCGAGCGGAAACTGTGGTCCGCCCACTTACATCCCCAGAGCGGACAGATTGCCAAGCTGGTCGAGGCACTAGCTCCGTCCAGTTTCCCGCAGCTTTCGGAACTGCTGCAGCGAGTTTGCATGCAGCTATCGGATCTGGCGCCCAACATGACGCTGCTGATCGCCAAGACCATCATGGAACTGCTGTGCAATGAATACCAGACATCCAACTGCATTCCAACCACCAATCTGGAACGGCTGCTCCGTTTTTCCACGCGCTTGTGCGCTTTTGCTCCTTTGAAGAGTTCCATGCTGTCCATACTTTCGGGAAAGTTCTGGGATCTGTTCCAGTCGCTACTGGCCCTCAACGAATTCAATGACGTGGTTTCCAATTGCCAGGAGGCAGTTCATCGTATTCTAGATAGTTTCCTTGACTCTGGTATATCGCTGATCTCGCACAAGTCTACAGCGTCACCAGCTCTTAATCTTTCTGCGGCACTCCCACCCAAGGAACTGATTCCGCGAATCATCGATGCTGTCTTTAGCAACTTAACCAGTGTGGAGGTCACCCATGGCATATCAATTCTGGCGGTGCGCAACCTAGTCATCCTCACAGAGCACGAGTAAGTTCTGGCTTTCATTGTGTTGTAAATATATCAAAATAATTAAACCTATTCCAACAGCTTCACCTTTTACCATCTGGCGCAGTTGCTAAAGCAAAAGATCACCGAATTCCAGGCATGGATGGAGCGTGTAATTCTTCACAACGAAACTGTCGAGTACAACGCCAACATCGAATCTCTAATCCTGCTGCTGCGATCTCTGACTCAAATTGAACCGCCGCCCACCATGTCGGCTATGCCGCATCGCACCCTGAAACTAGGCGCCACGGAGCTGGCCCAGCTGGTTGAGTTCCAGGACATTGAACTGGCCAAGCCACCCGTGCTAAGTCGCATTCTCACCGTCATGGAAAAGCACAAGGCGGTGGCCAACGAGGCGGCGCTAAGCGACCTCAAGCAACTGATTCTGCTGCAGGCGTCCAAGCAGGAGATTCTCGCTGGAACCAGCACTGAGACGCCACCTGAGGGTGAGGGAGAAGCCAATACATCAGCCACTAGCTGTAGTGGATCTCTGACTGTGGAACCCTACTTGCCCCAGGCCGAGGGCATTGTCACACAGTACGAGGCGCGTCCGATCTTCACGAGATTTTGTGCCACTGCCGAAAACGCTCAGCTCACGGCTCGCTATTGGCTGGATCCGCTGCCCATCGAATTGATCGAGGACATGAACGAGCCGATCTACGAGCGCATTGCCTGCGATCTCACGGACTTGGCTAACGTGTGCCTCAATCCGGATTTGAATGTAGCTGGTGATAGCAAGAGGGTAATAAACTTATCCGGCTCACCGCAATCCAACCGCGAAATGACGCCGACAGCGCCTTGTTTCCGCACTCGTCGGGTGGAAGTGGAACCGGCCACTGGTCGTCCGGAAAAGAAGATGTTCGTTTCGTCGGTTAGAGGTCGTGGTTTTGCTCGTCCTCCACCTTCTAGGGGCGATCTGTTCCGCTCTCGTCCACCAAACACCTCAAGACCGCCATCCCTGCACGTTGATGACTTCCTGGCGCTGGAAACTTGTGGGGCCCAGCCCACAGGACCCACGGGCTACAACAAGATACCCTCCATGCTAAGGGGCTCCAGAGTTGGACGCAATCGTGGATCCCGCATCTCGGCAGCTGCTGCCTTTAGGTAAAGTTAATCCATATCTTTTGAAAGCCCGGTATCACAGGGAAATTCCACTCTCTTAACAGACAAAAGAAGCTGATGCGCATTGGTTCACCCTCGAGCTGGGCAGACTCCTCAGGATCCTATCGTTCGGGCTCGGACTCGCATTTCAATAGCAGTGACTCCCACTATTCGTCGCCCCACTACAGCGGAAGGCCGCGTGGGCGTGGCCTGCGCTCCAGACCATCCTACCTGAGATAGGAGGAAGTTCAAATCCACTCTAGCCAGGTGGTCGCTAGTTAAGCATATTACTTCCATTACTTAACAATTGCTGATTCTATATTGATCGCTGTATTTTCCCAATTTGTATTTAAGCTTAACGTTAATTTTCTGTAATTACACTGTGCAAACGGACATCGTGCGACTCCATGGGCAGCTCCTCATTGCTGACTATCTGCTCGTTGAGGGCCAGGGCCATCAGTGAGATCTTCTTGTGCGGATACTTGTCTGCGTGCTGCTTCAGGAACTTGTCGTAGTAACCCATTCCATGGCCCATGCGACCTCCGCAGCGGGTAAAGGCCACTCCAGGCACAATGAAGAGATCGATGCCGTGGCCTGCAATAAATGAAACTCTGTAAATGAATCTCAGAGGAACTCTTTATAACCCACCGTTGGTCATGGCATCTTCACGTGCCTCCTTAAAGTCCGGCTGCTTGATGTTCCACTTGGTCAAAGGGAGACTTTCGTACTCGTCCATTCCGCGCAGTCGGACCATCTTCATCTTGGTGCCCTCGTACGTGGGCACGAAGACCATCTTCTCCAGGCGAAACATCTCGAGGAGCAGCGCGGTGGTGTCCAGTTCAGAGGTGGTGCTCAGGTAAATGCTCACCCGCTGGGCCTGGCGGAAAATCTCGCTCTGGAGCACCTGGTGTCGTGGGATCGAGCTGATTAGTGATAACCCCAAGACCCCAGCCTGATTTTTACCTTGGCCGTGACTGCCTGGGATTGCCGAGCAATGGTCTCCGCGTCCAGGCACTTGAGTGCATCCTTCATGCGCCCCCTCAGCGCCACTTTGAGAGTATTCTGGATTGTAGCCGCCATTCCTGTCGGTGGAGCTTAGACTTCACACTTGTGCGAACCGGTGAGAACTGTTTCCATCTGCCTGTCCAGTCCGGGCATCTGCAGGTCTCGTCTCCGGCGTTCTTATCACTTTCGGTTACACTGCCCCACCGTTATCAGTTGGTGGTTCTGCTTTGTAGCTGGGTTCGTAAACAAATGGAAGGGGAGCAATCTGGAATATGAAGCTATAGGTTTCCAGGGGCTAAACCGAAAGACGATCAGCTGATCAGAGATGGGAGTTACTCAGTAAATTATGTAATTCAGTACCTCATCAAATTTGTGGTACCTACATCTGTATATATAAAGCTATCCACTTGAATCTTAGAATCAATGCAGAGCGAAATCCCCTTAAATGAATTGTAATATAACAAAATTCTCATTTGGTGAGGCCTTCGGTTAATTGGTATATTTATAATGAATCACTACCATACAATTTTCATTTAACGAACTTATTGCATATAGTATATTTGGAGTAAAAGTAAATACAATTCAGACAATATAATCAAGTGATGATTAGAATCATTTATGTTCTATTTAAAAGTGCTTTAGGTCATTTACTTCTTAGGAGCCTCGGGTGCCTTGGGTTCCGTCTTCGCTTTCAGGTTCTTTAGCTGCTCTTTTTGCTATAGAAATATAAGTTGTATGTGTATTTATTGAATTAATAATATAATTTGGGATTTACCTGCTTGTGGAAGAACTCCTCCTCGCGAGCAGCCTCCATTTTGCCAAAAGACCCCCCAGCCTCTCGAATCGACCCACCTCCGCCGCCCCCCTTGCCGGCTCCACTTCCGAGTTCTCCGATCTGTGACATTTTCAAGTGTCTGCAATGCAATGTTCCGAAATGGTTCTAGAATTCTTATGCAACTTTGCTCCAATTCGTGACACTTACTGAATCTGCTGCGGATACAAACGCTGACTGAGACGGCGCAGTGTAAACATGTTTGTCTTTTATAGGAACGGTTTATATAGTATAGTTAAGCTATATATAAGGGGGTGATTTGCCGTAGTGATTTCGCCGACTTGTGAAAACAAACTGATGACAATTGGACAAGAGCGTAGCTAAAAATACTTAATGGGGACCAAAATAAATGCTCTTTAAGCAAAGGCAATCGTGTTTTATAGGGACAATTATTTAAATTTCTTATGTACCGAAAGTTGAAGAAAGTATTTTAAATTATTTCCTTTCTTTGTACGCCCCTAAATCAGTCAGCAAAAGGCGCTAAAAAACGATTATTTGAATTTAAATCCAGGACTTTTATTTTTTTAATCCCTTTTGAACTTTGAAACTAACAATTTTATTGCGCAGTGTCATTCGGAAGTATTGGCATGAGGATGTTGCGCCTCTGAAGTAACGAGGGAATGTCAAGTAATGATAAAAACAATTAACTAATTTGTGTTTTGCGGATCTGACTTTAGTTCCAAATCGTTAGCAGTGTTGTTAGCGACCTTTGGGTCCTCTTGAGCACGATCGTGTAATACTTTTATATCATCTGCGGTCTGAAAATGAAGATAGGGAATAAAACATTACGAGTTCTGGAAAAAGTACCCACCTCGTTTAGGAAGAACGCCTCCTCGAGTACATTCTTGTGCTTGTTCATGAACGATGAGCTGCCGAGGGAGGCGTGATCCAGTGTCTTCTGGAACTCATCCCAATTGGGCATGTAGTCCACGTGGTCCTTCTTGTCCCGCATCTTGCACATGAGGTTCTGGGTCAGGGAGATAAAGTACTCCTCCTCCTTCAGACCGCCTTGCAGCTTGCCGAGTCCACCGCCCCAGAGGAAGACATTTGGAGGTTTCTTCTCCTCGGAATATTGTTTGTTGGTCATCAACCCGAGCCTTCGTGGATTTCAGCTTGGGAATTATAAGAACGAGTCGACCTAGCGGATGATACTCACGTTTGCTTTAGACCCAGGCTCAGTCTACGCTGCATAAATCCTGCACAAAACATTTTTGTACACGAAAGTAAGGAATACATACGAAAGGGTTACAGATTTTTTAAAAATGGTTACACAAAACTGGACGGTTGAGACTAGTAGACTTATCAGAGCCCAGAAATATTTTCCCACGATTGCTCTATAAACTATTTTGTGCTATTTTTTCTTGTTTCCCGTTTTGATCATAGCCTACTAAAACGAGACATTTATTATTTTAATACAGTTAACGAACGCTTTGTATTCAATAATTATACAAATTTTACTCAGAAGCAACAAAAAGAAACATTCTATTTTATAGTTGACCATGCGAATAATGCTTTCGAAGATATTTGCATTTATATAAGCTATTTATTTAGATTGGATGGCGTTTTAAAGACTCTGTAGGGTGCTTCGCAGATTTGTTGGAGTAAAGTTCCATCAGAGTCAAATCAGTTTTCCGTACCATTTGCTATAATATAGCACCTCTATTTTAGCATGTTAAAAAATACATCTTTAATTTATTATGATTTACATTTATTTCTATTTACATAAATGTACTTTTTATTTGTTACTGTATTAGTACTGTTATTAATTTTTTGAACAGATTCGGTTCATTAGACACTTTTTTGTTTCTTCGTTCCAGGTGTCACAAAGTCTATTACAAGTTGCCTTGGGGGGTTGCGCTAAGGACAGTCCCATCAGAGTCAAAAAAGTTAAGCAGCAGACTTTCAAGTTCATTTTTGCAATAATAGTTATAGATTATTAAATGAGCTGAGGTCCATTTCTCAAGGGCTACCTTGAAAACAGTGACTAATTCATTTTGTTGGGTTAATTAGTTACAATTAATGCAGTTAATACGGTCTTTTTATGAAGATGTTTGCAATAATATAGGATCCATTAAACTGCCTTTTCAACATAAATAAATATATGTTAATTGTGCAGTGTAGCAGCAAATACACAAATAAAGGCAACCAAATTATCCTGGTTTACTTTTTTCAATTTTATAAGGATAAAAAAAGTTGTATTACACAAATTATTATTAATACTTTAAGTCAAAAATAAAATCTGTGGATTAGTGAATTTAATATCCTTATTTAAAAAACCAAAAAAAGATATAAAACATACAAACAAAAAGCTGTGTTGCTATCGGGTTTTCTTTTTTTCTAAAGGGAAACAAAGAAAATACAAATTGTGTTTAAAATTATTTTCTGTAACAAGATGTGATGTTCCAACACTTTTTTGATACTTCGCTCCAGATTTGATGCCCGAAGCCTGTAGACCTCGCCGAAGAAGAAAGACCCATAAAAGTAAAAATAGTTATGAAAAAACTTCATCCTTGTATAATTTAATTTTTAAAATATTTTTACCTTATTAACATGGTAAGAAGAGACACGTTTTTGTACTCTCTTCCCAGCGGCGACAATGTCCTTTACAAGTTTCCTTTGTTCGGCTTGCCGAACAGAGTCCTGTTATTATCAAAAAAGTTATGAAGAAAACCTTCAGATTCATTGTTTAAGCTTATGATATAGATTCTAGAATAAAACTTTAGCAGAATTATTATACACTTACTAAAACGGTAGCTAATTGATTTTCTTTGTTAAATTTTAGCATTCAATACAATTATATTATTTAGAGTAAATGTCAACCCTATTCAACCCTATGACTAAAAATATGTTTAAAATTATTTTCTGCAACAAGATGTGATGTTCCAACACTTTTTTGATACTTCGCTTTAGATTTGACACCTTTTATACCCAAAGCCTGTGGGCCTCGCCGAAGAAGAAAGACCCATAAAAGTAAAAAAAGTTATGAAAAAAACTTCATCCCTGTATAATTTAATTTTTATAACTTTTTAAACATTTTAAAAGCACACATGTTTTTGTACTCTCTTCCCAGCGGTTACAACGTCCTTTACAAGCTTCCTTTGAGAGGCTTGCCAAACAAAGTCCTGTTATTGTCAAAAAAGTTATGCAGAAAACTTTAAGATTCATTGTTTAAGCTTCGGATCTAGATTCTAGAATATAACTTTAGCAGAGCTTTTATACACTTACTAAAACGATATCTAATTGATTTTCTTTGGTCAATTTTAGCATCCAACACTAATATAGTACTTAAAGTAAATGTCAACCCTATGACTCAAAATATGTTTAAAATTATTTTCTGCAAAAAGATGTGATGTTCCAACACTTTTTTGATACTTCGCTTTAGATTTGACACCTTTTATACCCAAAGCCTGTGGGCCTCGCCGAAGAAGAAAGACCCATAAAAGTAAAAAAAGTTATGAAAAAACTTCATCCCTGTATAATTTAATTTTTATAACTTTTTTTACATTTTAAATTAGACACACACGTTTTTGTACTCTCTTCCCAGCGGCGACAAGGTCTATTACAAGTTTCCTTTGAGAGGCTTGCCAAACAAAGTCCTGTTATTGTCAAAAAAGTTATGCAGAAAACTTTCAGATTCATTGTTTAAGCTTCGGATCTAGATTCTAGAATATATCTTTAGCAGAGCTTTTATACACTTACTAAAACGGTAGCTAATAGATTTTCTTTGGTAAATTTTAGCATCCAAAACAATTATATTATTTAGAGTAAATGTCAACCATAGTCAGGCGATTACAAAATACATTTAAGTGTTTTAATATTAGGAGTCAGAATATTAAATAAATTAGAGCACGGCTTTAATAATCATTACGTTGGTTTGAGAGCATTCCGTACTAAAGATATATTTTAAAAATTGACTGGCACTGGCAACCCCATTTGGAATTCGCATTCCATTTTAATGTTTTCATACTTATATTTTTAATTTGGGGCTTCCCTAAGCTGTCATTTACAAACGCAATTGGTAGAATGAGTGGTTCTTAATTTTTATTTTTTTCGAATTTAAATTAGCGCTTTTGTTAGCAATTAGAGGTGGCCCAAAGGTGGGTGTGTGTTCCCGCTAGGACAGGAGGGTGTCTTCGCTAAAGAATCGAACTTGCGTGACTGCTTTTGGGATATTATGCTATCGATGTTTCGAAAACATCGATGATACTGATGTTACTCCACAACTAGCTCCAGCTCTATAAGAAAATGTTTTTTTTTTTAGAAAACGCTGGATTTACCAATGATTTGCGGCCAAATCGGATGTGCTAACTGTGCGGGCGAGCTATTGAGAATGCCGATCGAGTGAGGCCAAGACACTAAACGGGCGGAGCGACTGCGCCGCGATCGCCCCGCTTCAGCAATTGTGTGTGTGTATCATGGACAAGCTACGAAACAACAACAAGGAGAATGCACCCATTGAGTACCCCTACCCGCAACCACAGGCCCCCCGCCCCTTGCACGACTCCCCCTCCTCCGCCTCAACCACCCACCCCCTGGAAGCTGGCGAGGATGTGGAGAGCAACAAGAGCACGCCCTATTTCACGCCCCTCGAGTTCCTGCAGACGTCCTTTGAGTTCCCCTCGCCCACAGCGGAGGGTGGGGTTCCGGGCATTCCCGAGCAGGAGGATCCAGAGGAGGAGGCCTTCACTCCCCGACAGTTCACCATTGCAAGCCCCCACCCAGCACCACCTCATGTTCACTATCCACCCAGCTCGCAGTCCCCCACTTTAAGCCGCAAGTTCAAGCGGTTCTCGCTGTACGACCGCCGATCCTGCTCGCCGCAGATCACCAGCTCCGCGGGAGAGGAGCGGGGCAGTGGACGTGGCACCGACAAGGAGAACACCATGCCCAAGGGCGAGTCGGACGACCACGACCTGGAGAACATCTTGTATCTGTCGAAGAGCGAGCACAACTCACCCACCATCCTGTTCAAGGATGAATCCTCTACGACGCCGGGACTGGAGGCCAGTCGCCTCAGCTACTCCCCGAAACTCCTGTCCTCCATCAACAACCTGAACGTTTCCGGTTCACCCCTGAACATCATAAACTCGGCTGGCTACAAGAACGGCAACTTCTTTCGCTTCCCGGAGATCGATCATGTTGTGCAGGATGCGCCCATGGATACAGGCGGGATGGAGGAGGCTCCGCGCCGGGATCGCAGCCCTGCGTTGGCCGAACCGCCGGAGCAGCAGCAGCAGAAGTCTGAGGGGCGAAAGAACCGCAAGAATAAGAACAATCTCACCATTCGCATCATGGACGTGCCCATTAAGAACTCGGGACAAGCCTCGCCGTTGCCCAAGCCCAAGACGCCGACCATCAAGAGCACCAAGGAGAAGGCCCGCTCGCTGGACTCGGCGGCCAATGAGTCGGAGCTGTCGATCGTGGTGCACAACATAACCGAATCTCATTCTCATGGCAGCTGCGATGACATGGAGTCGGGGCAAAGTAAGCCGTCGACGAGTGTCATCCACCACCACCATCTTCAACAGCCTGCTTCCGCCATTCACTCAACGTCGCTCTCGCGACTGGATAGCCACCTGAGCTTGGCCAACCAGCGGCGCACGCCGCGTAGGAAGTCACCCGGAATCAACACCACTGACTGGCTAATGTACCACCGCAAGCAGAACCCATATCAGGTGCCCTCGTCGCACTGCAGCTCTACGGCCCAAAGCTCTCTGGACTCGGACGCCAGTTTGACCCCCAGCTTGGGCGACTCCGAGCTAAAGTCCGCCTGCAGCGTGGACGGCGGCTCCAAGTTTGGAATGGGCGCTAGCCTGGCGCCGAGAAGCGCCCACAAGCACAATCAGCTATTGCACTCGTCCAGCACCAATCTGAAGACGCTGCCCGAGTGCCTCACCCTCGTGGAGTTCTCCTCCTCCGGTGGTGGTCCCAAGGAATCGCCCTTCAAGCAAAAGTCCATGGATCTACCGATGCCGCCGCTGCAGGCCAAGGCCACGGTGTCCACATCTTCGATGAATCTCCTCCAGCGACGGGGATCCAATCACAGTTTAACGCTCAACCTGCACAGCTCTTGCGGCAACCTGATGAACAGCGGACTCAGCCACTCAAACTACAGCCTGGGCTCAATACTCAACTCAAAGTCCAGCTGTAATTTGGATGCGGGCACGGCTGGCCAAAACAGGTCCGACCAGCAGCCGCAGACACATCTGTTGGCCGGTAGCCAGGGAAGTCGGCAGGGGCTGTTCCGGAGACGGGGATCGAACCACAGCATCACCCTTAAGACGGGACACACCACCACCTCATGCGGGGATCTTAACTCCATGCATCAGCTTCAACAGCAGCAGGCAATGCTGAGCGCGGAGAAGTACAATCGACTCAACATGCGCACCAATTCCACCGGCTCGGGATCGGGTTCGGGATCCAATGTACCTACTCCAAAGAGAGGACTGCTAGAACGCCGCGGCTCCAATCAGAGCCTCACCCTAAACATGGGCAGCATACTGGGAGGAGGAGCAAGTACAGAGATTCCGGTGCAGGACATGGGGCAGCCGAAGGTCACGGTCTGCAGTTGTGCTGCCGCCAACCAAGCTCCGCATCAACGCAAATTCTTCAGCACCGAGAACTTAAACAGCAGCAAGGTTAACAACCAAAAGTTCTTCGGACAGGTGTGCTTCGGGTCCGCCTCGGACTTGCAACCCAATCCGCAGCAGGAATCGGCTAGCGCGGATCAAGGCATGGGGGCCACGTGCACCTGCGCCGGAGCCGTGCGCAACATTATGACCCGACCTCTGTCGCCGCAGACGACCAGCGAGGAGTTCAAAATCTACTTGGCCAGTATTCAGATGCTGCAGAGCGCCTCCAACCCGCTCAACCAGTTCGATCTAATTCGGCTGAACTACGTGTTCGATCACAGCTACCAGACAAACAGGAACATCATCGAGCAGCCGCCTGTGCTGGGCCCCAATGGACGGGACTTGGAAACGCCCACCGATCTGGTGCCACCAAGCTCCGAGGACAGTGAACTGCTCGCATGCTACCAGACGGTGGTCAAGAGAATTGTGCAATCGATACCGGAACTAGAGGAAACCGAGCAGAAACGCATCTTTCGGGATCTGCACAAGGAGTTCTGGGACCTGCCGCTCAATCACCAAGAGAAGCCGATGGTCTTTGGCTCGCAGACGAAGAATCGCTACAAGACGATCTTGCCCAATGAGCACTCGCGCGTGCTGCTCGAAACCGAGTCCAGCGAGCTGATCACCCTGCAGGAGGAGGTGAAGCGCACCTGCTCCGTGACCGGCAGTGAGGACATGCCCTACATCAATGCCAATTATATCAAGGTAAGATCCCCACACAATTATCTGTTAATGCTACTATATAGCCTTCCGTTTCAGGGACCCGACTACGTGTCCAAGTGTTATGTGGCTACGCAGGGTCCGTTGCCCAATACCATCTTCGAGTTTTGGCTGATGATCTACCAGAACACCCAGCGCTACATACGACGCTGCGTGGATGGCGGGAGCAGCAGCAGTCCGCACATGGACCGTGCGCAGATCCTTCAGCAGTACTTTCAAAAGATCGTCATGCTCACCAACTTCACGGAGGCGAATCGCCAAAAGTGCGCCATCTATTTTCCCATCGAGCTGAATGAGATATTTGCGGTGGCCGCCAAGTGCGAGGTGTTTCAACTAAGTGCGGCTGCCCGGAACTATTTTGATCGGTACTTGACGCCCACCTTTGTGCCGGACACTGTGGTGGCCTCCTCGGAGGCGATCGACTATGAGTTAAGTGGCCGGCACATTGGCGTGGAGTCGGTGAAGGTGACGCTGGAAGGTGATCTGCTGGAGGCTCTGCCCGCCCAGGGGAGCTTTATCTTGATCAAGAACGTCGGTATTGTGCGAAGGAATGGCTACTCGGTAAGGAAGCTGGTGCTGCTCTACTGCATCCGTGTGCCGCAAAGTGCTAGCTACCACCTGCAGAAGATCTACTGCTACCACTACTGGTATCCGGACTGGCCGGATCACCACTCGCCGCGGGACATCAACACGCTGCTGGACACCTGCTTGCATGTTCTCAACCTAGGAAAGTGTGAGTCGGAGTTCGACAACTACGATGAGAATAGGACCGAGAGGAACGCCCACCTTGGGGCCCAGCGGTTGGAGATCTACCAGCAGGACATATTTAATGCTGTTCAGCCGCTTCCCGTAATCCACTGCTCGGCCGGGATTGGGCGCACTGGCTGCTTCACGGCCATCCTGAATGCTGTGCGTCAGTTGCGCCAATCGTTGGCCTACTCGCTGACAGGAATGCTCACCAAATCGCTGACCAGCCGCACGGAGGAGGAGCTCCAGTGCCCAACAGACAGCGACAGCAGCTTCACCTGCAACACCATACGGCTCATCAGGCACATCCTGAATCACCAGGAGGCGGAGGCGGTTGAGACGCCCCCATCCTTCGACCGCCTGCCCAAGATGCCGGACATTTTCGTGGATGTGCTGGGAATCGTGTGCAATCTGCGTCTGCAGCGGGGCGGAATGGTCCAGAACTCGGAGCAGTACGAGCTAATCCATCGGGCCATTTGTCTCTATTTGAAGCGCACTCTGGCGCTGAGGCGATTTTAAAGATGCGGAAACGCAAATCAACCCATTTTTGACGACGAACGAAAGGAGATGAAGAACAAAACACCAATTTACTATTTGTAATCACAATTTTTGTGGCCCTTATTTTAATGAAGCAACCACGACGGACAAGTAAGATGAAACCATGGCTAAAAGAGTCTCGAAAAAGTTACATAAGATGGCATTCTCGGAATAGGATGGATGAGATGCTCTCGATGTTTGCTAAATATTACTATTACCACATATTCTATATATATATATAAATGTTTATTAAGTGTTGGATGTATGTGTGTTAAATGTGTACATAAGTGTAAATGTTTCCGACTTTTGGTGTGAACTATGCTTAAACTAAAGTTAATTAACAATTATTATACCTTACCTTACCTTACCAAAACCATCCCTTACCATAACGAAGCGCATCTATACAGAGCTCGAGACGTTCGGCCGCGTCCCCCGGTGAGTTGTGCATCCTGCTTGGGGGCGGAGAAAGCTCAAACCTTTTTCAAGTCGGACCTCTTCCCGGGGTCCTTCTGACTAAACACCAATTTCCCCAATCCCAAGCGGACAGCTCGACCGCCGGACGCAGGCCAAATTACGGACAAGAGTTCATTTAAAACACGTGAGAAAATCTCGAAAAGAAAAATGGAAACCCATAAATGAACTTGTATTAACGTTTATGCAATGGAACTAGTCAAATAAAAATTAGAAACATTTTAAATGTAACTTTAATGTGCAAAATCGACAGTGTTGTTATTATAGTCTATGAAGTCATTGGGCTATGTTTTTTAAATTTTTTCTAATAAATATCAATTTTTAGATACTTTAAATTATGATTTGGTTGATTTTCACATTGAACTGTTAATTTTTATAGTTAGTTTAATTTATTTAAGTTTACATTTAAATTCAAATTTAGGCCCGATTTTGCAATGTCATGTTAACGTCTGTTATGATTTTTTTCTATTTAATATCGCAATATAATATTAGGTTTTAATCTGAAATTAAAAAAAACGAATATATGTATTCGAATATTTTAAATTGATGTTAACTTTCCCCGACAGATTACTTACTTGAACCTTAAAATGGCATTGACAATTCGGTCATTAGATGGATAATAATAATAATTACAAATTATGCAATTTAAACGTAAAAATATATCTTCATTATACTTATTTTCCAAAGTCGAGTTTTTTAATTTCGGATTTCTATAACTTTGAGGTATAAAAACACCCGCTGCACCAGCGAAGGGTTAAAGCGTCAGCTGTTTTTGACGAGCAAAGTTCATCGGTTTGTTTTGTTATAGCCGGATAATTGCCGATGATTAGATTGTTTATGAAATCTCAACGAGTGGACGACTAATTTCGCCATGCTCCGTTCGGGGAGATTAATGTTTAGCAGGTTCCACAGCAGCATGAAGGTAAGTCAGTGAAGTTCAAATCCGGCATATTATTTAAACTGCTATTTTCCCAGGTGAAAGTTCCAGTAAAACAGGGTGTTGTGGTGGGTCAACAGAAAAAACTAGCCAGCGGACTGGAGTACAACAGTTTCCTGGGTGTTCCCTATGCAGAACCGCCCGTGGGAGAGTTGCGTTTCCGGGTAAGCTATAGTTAAGCCTCCTAATTATTAAAAGACACTTGTAATCCTGTCTATATCTTCCAAATTTAGAGCCCCCGACCTCTGGAACGTTTCCGGGAGCCGGAACTGGACTGTAGCAAAGAGGGCAACGTGTCCCACCAGCGCGATCCCTTCACCTTGGAGGTGGCTGGCTCAGAGAACTGCCTGTTCCTCAATGTCTATGCACCCAAGGTCAAGAATCCGGGATCTCCTCTGCCAGTAATGATATGGATTCACGGCGGCGGCTTCTTCTTTGGAAATGGAAACAGTGACTTGTGGGATCCCCAGACTACTATCTTATTCATTTATCTAATCTCACGTACCCCCTTTCAGCCACTTTCCCGGCAAACTCATGGAGCAGGAGGTCATTGTGGTCACCTTAAACTACCGACTGGGAGCACTGGGTTTCCTTAGTTTGCCCGAGGAGGGCATCCACGGGAACATGGGACTCAAGGATCAGCGCCTGGCCCTCCAGTGGGTACAGGAGAACATAGCCAGCTTCAATGGCGATCCAGATAATGTAACCCTTTTCGGAGAGAGTGCGGGAGGTGCTTCAGTGCATATGCACACCTATGCCCGTCATGCCAACCGGCTGTTCCACAAGGCCATCATGCAGAGTGGAACGGGCAACATGGAATGGGTGTTTCAAACCGAGGCTGCTGTCAAGACGCGACGTCTGGCAGAGCTACTGGGAGGCGGTGACTTTGGTGGCGATACCAAAGCACTTTTGGCCTTCCTGCAAAAGGCAGATCCCGCTGGCATTTTGGCCAACACATTGAAGGTTCTAACGCCAGACGAGCGGCGACGCTGCCTGCCGTTTGCCTTCAAGCCAGTCGTGGAGGATAGCAGCAGCCCGGACAGCTTCCTCGACAAGAACATCATGGAGCTGATGTGCAAGAAGGACTCCCTGGGCAAAATGCCCATGATTATGGGCTACAACTCCGCCGAGGGGCTGGCCATAGTGTTGAAAGCGAAGCAGAAGCTGGAGGCTTACGAGGATGACTTGGCCAGGATGGTGCCCCGTAATATGGTGGCGGATCCGAAGGCCCCCGAGGCCCAGGAGGCTGCTTCCGACATTCGAGCCTTCTTCTTCAACGGCCAGGCGCTGACCAAGGAGAACATGGACAACCTGGTGGATCTGTTTTCCGACTACCACTTCAGCATGGATCTACAGCACGCCGCCGAGATCCACGCCAGCTGTCAGACACAGTCTCCTTTGTACTTCTATCGCTTGGACTATGTTGGCGGTCGCAATATGTACAAGAAAATATTCCAGAACGAGGATCTCCGTGGCGTGGCCCATGCCGATGACATTTGCTATCTCTTCCAGATGGCGGGTGACGAATCCGAGGTTAGGGAGGACGACTTGCTGGTCACGGAGCGAATGTGTAAGATGTGGGCGAATTTCGCGCGCCATGGAAAACCATCGGAAAGTTGGAAGCCCATCCAAAAGGCCCAGGATGGCAAGCCCTTTCAATTGGACTGTCTACTTATAGATCGGGAGCTGAAGATGTGCGTCAATCCGGATGGCGAAAGAATGGACTTTTGGAGGAGCATGTACAGGAGATACAGGAGCAAGTGCTACGAAGCTCTGAGAGCTAAATTATAACTCATTGTTACTAAGAACAAAGATTAAGCAATTACTCATTATTAACCGACTATCTTTCCATTTTTAGTCTTGAATAAAATTTAATTCGAAAACGCAAATATATATGAAAGTCATTAGCAAACTGTCATTTGAAAATGGTTGTTAATGAAACTAAATACAAGTTTGATTTATTGCATTTAATTTTATTATTCTTTAATATTGTTGTAATACACATTTCAATTACCATATGATAAAAGAGGCTGTCTTTGGATAAGACCTTTCGCATATGTACCGCCTGGTATATTCGCAGGGTCTGTCATTTAAGACGTTGTAATTAGCAGAATTTCCGCGGTATCCCAACTCGTCACAATTCTCATTCCCGTCCTGATTATTCGGTTCCCCCGGATACCAAATTTGTAAAGTTATTGGGTTACCAGTTTCGAACCAACCATGCTTTCCCTGATGCGCCAAGTCCGCACCCGAGGTCCAGTATATATCATAAATCTGGTTCCTTAACAGATACCGATTAATAAGATCCCACTCTTGAATGGTTTCGAAGGATATCAGCTTGGCGCCCAGTCGATGACAAGATTCCGATGCATCAAACCAGTTCTTTGGTGCGTTGATTTCAATGTAATAATAACCATGACCGATCTTTACGAAAGGAGCTGTTGTAAAATTCAGATGATCTGGTATACCTAAAGAATAGTTCGTAAATTAGCTAAAAATAAATATTATTTTTTATATGTAGTTACCATCCTCAATAGTCGGCACTACTTCATAGCCTCCAACGAGAGAAAGTAGGCCTATCAGAGAACTAAGTACAAAGTATGTGATGACCATTTTTTGATTACTGAATGATACACCAGTGAATCGAGGTGTTTTATACCTATAATGTGCGCAGTGTTTAAGGAAGAAGTACATACATTTATTTATTGATTTACTCACGAGATAAGAAAACGACGAGTTTTCTGCTAATATTTGACTATAGCCTTTGAAAACTAATTAAAATGTCAAGCTAAATATGTTTGTTTATAAGAATTTCAACAAACAAGTAAACTTAATTAAATGCCCTTGACTAAGAAGCAGGGGTCCCACAAAACGGGTTCTTTATTATTGAAGTGTAATCTTTTAAAAATCGTGGTCAAAGTCCCAAATTTTCGATGTTTTTGGGCTAGTAATCTACAGGTAAAAATCCTTTCAGATTTTGTAGCGTTTACTCTTGGGCCATGAACTGTCTGCACTTTCCAACAAATGGAATATAAATTTTTACTATACGAAAAAGGGGTATAAAATACTCCAAAGGATTTTCAAAATGTAATTTAAAAAACCGTTATGCTCGTTTAAAACAGGGTGTTTTGGTTTTAGTCTGTGACTATCGATGCATTCTCGATTCCTATCGATTAATATCGATAAATGAATCGATATTCAAACGCGGGGCGACTCGTGCAGCAGAAATCGAAAAATGAGGAACACAGGGTGATTCGAGTCAGCAAAACAATTTGGATTTTGAAAATTCCATTTCGACGAATTAGTCCTGGAGAAGAAGCGGAACACGACGCCAAGATGATAATTGAGAAAGAGCACCCGCTGGACAACTGCCAGGTGTTTGTTCAACTGCGGAAATGTTTCCACGATTACGGGCAGAAGGCCAAGAGCCTGAAAAGTCTCGTCTACTGGAGCGGTAAGATGGAACTCCTATGGTTTATCCCAGGAATAATACATTTTACCCTTTGTGTGTAGGTAACGATGAGCACATTGCGCAGATCTGCGACCAGGTGGCTGCCATACTAATGGAGCACGAGCTGATCCGCCAGGAGCCACACGCCAAGCGTCCTGAGGAGCTGGTGACCGGGCCAAATGGACCGGTTGCCATGAATCACTTGCGCGGACTGCTGATCTACCTGGTGTTGAATACAAGCAATGAAGCCGAGCCCCAGTGGAGCTCCCAGGTCATACATTTGTGCCACCAGCTGCCGGCCATCCCACAATTCCTAACCATTGCCATAGCCCTTAGGTGTGGCCTCCAACAGCCGCTTGAGGAGTTCCTCGCCTGCGGACCCCGCTGGCTGACCACACAGTACTTCGAAGCATTCAATGAGACTCTATCGCACATTCATCCAGATCTACTTGATGCTTTGCCACTGGTCTTTGGCGCCCTTAAGGCAGCTGGCCGGGCCATTATCCATCATAATCTGCCCGAGGAGAACAAGCGACTGCTGCGCCAGATGGCCAGCATGCTGCAGCGCCATCTCCTGGACTCCAACGAGCGGCTGAAGACATTGCCGCGTGCAGCCACACGAAGGATTTACCTGGCAGAGGTCATGCAACAGCTGCTGGAAGTCCTTCTGGAGACCTTGAGAAATCCGAAGGGACGCCAAAAGCCCAACTGCTTTAGCATCTACAGCCAAATGAGCGCGGACATCAGTGGCAGCTACTCAAACGACCCCATGACAGATTTGCGACTATATGCCCTAATCCTCCTGGACGCCCTGCAGCGCATTTTGCAGCTAATCAGCGTGGACACCTTCATGTACTGGCTGGAGATTCCATCGAAGCGCTTGCTGTACAGCTACCAGGAGCTAATCTGCAGCCAGACGGCCGAGTTGCTTAAGCTAGTCGAGCAGGATGAGGAACTCAGGCAGCATTCGGTCTGCAAGCAGATGCAAAGCTTTGCGGAGGCAGCCAAAAGCTTTGATGATCGTCTCGCGGAGCTGACACTTGGCGAGCTGTTGACCTTCCTGGACGGCGATCTTGGCGATGTAACCAGTGAGCAGCTGCTCGCCGGTCTGGACAACCTTTTTGGCCGCTCCATAGCGTTCGGCAACGATGAATGCGTGGAGACGATGGGAAAACATCTACAGCTGCTCACCACGAAGCATTCCGGATTGATACTGGTGTTCTTAAGCCAGGTGGTGGAAGCCAAAATGGAGATCCAAGACGAGGGCATATCCATTACGGAGGTGAAGCAGGAGAAGGACGACGATGATGATGAAAATGAGCAACCCATGTCCGTCAGTGGGGACGAAGAGGAGGAGGAGGAGTATGGCAGCCTGCTAAACCTAGTGCTGCGTCCGCTGTTTCAGCAGCTAAGTGTGCCGGATAAGATCCAGGTGCTACAGACCCGCGATGAGCTTAATGTGACGGATGGTTTTAAGTTCGAGGCACCCGATCACCAGGAGCGTCGCATACGTTTTTTCAACCGCTTGGACACAAACAAGAAGTTTCCGCTGGACGAATTCCTGGGACTGTGCTATGAGAACGCCAAGCAGACGTGGCTGGATTTCGCACGGTTGGCCGTAACGCACCAACGCTTCATGCTCCTGTTCTGGCGGTTGGCTTGCCATGCTTGTCCCAAGCACGCTGCTTACAACATTTCCGGCTGTGCTAGGGAAATTTTGCTGGACGAGCAACTGCTGCTTAAGCCGAACGCCCTGCGCTTCCTGTCCTCCTTGTATGGCCACCGGCAGATCCTCAACGGTCTGCATATGGAATCCAGTGTGCTTTGCGTTGGTTTGAAAGACGGCGCCTGTCCCTACGAAAAGGAGACGCTGAAGCAGGCACAATGCAACTTTCTGGAGGCTTGTGCCGCCGGCCTGGCCAAGTTCAGTGAGCCCTTGAACTACAGCAGCCTGCAGCTTATCCTGCGCCTACTGCTGGGGATTACGGTGGCCGAGAAGCAGATTAATGTCCAGGGGATTAAACAGCTGCGAAAGATCAAGAAGGAACAAGCAAAACCCGAGGGCGGAGACGATGCTCCTCTTGTCAAGGAGGCCATGCGGTATATTGACATGCACGCCTTTTTGCCCGAGTGGCGCCAAGAGAACTGGCCGCTAATCTCCCAGATAATGGTAACCATCGATGCGTTGCGCTGGGACTTCACTACCTTCGAACAGGTCCGCGTGGATACTTTGGGCCTGGCGGTGCGCTATTGGGGTCGGGGTCTTTCTCACCTGAAGATCCTGGGCGAGGGTGAGTTCTGGTGGAGATTGAGCTTAACTGTCGTCATCTAATTATTGTTTTTGCAGAATTTCGCCAGAGAATCTTTAATTTAGCCGGAAACTTGAGGCACAAGGACTTTTGGGTGGTCAATCTGGAGGAAGCCAGCTCCAATTACAGCAGGCGGCTCATAAGATTGCTGACACAGGCTAGCGGATCGGAGGCAACAATACTCTTCGCCAAGGTTCTGATGAACCGCACCGATTCCTCGGTCATGGAAGAATTAAGCGATGCAGTGGAGCAGGCCAAGTGCGAGCCCGCCTTGCAGGCCTTCAAGTTCCTTTTCCGCAGCTACTTAATCGCCTACCGAAAGCATGTCAGGTTCATCAAACCGAGTAGGAAGCGTCATCATTGGGACCATTTGATGACCGTTGTGGCCAAAGCTCCCTCCTCAATCCGCAACGAAGTCCTGGAGGAAGCTCATCAGGCGTTCGCTGCGCGTTTGCGCATTAATCCTAACGAGCAGGATAAGCAGAAGTCCGAGGAGGTGCTCTAAACTTATCATATTCCAAACCAAAATCAAGGGGCCGCCCCTTCTCTAACATTTAGAACAGTGTGCAGCGGCCTCGTACTTTATGAAATGTATTATCTATGATAAATTATCATACATTGTTAAGAAGCAACATAATAACTTGATATTTTTGTATTACCTTAAAAAGGACGATCAAAATGAATCTTTGAAAATGTAATCTCTTTATTTATTGTTTAAGTGCAGGCAAATGTTAAATAAAATCTGCAATGGTCAACAATAGTCTTGAAACTCGCTGTTAATTTTCTAAATAGTTCGTATGCATTTAATAGGGCTATTTGTCAAGCTGTACTTTCTGGAATATGTATTTTGATTTATTTTATGTATTAAATTAACCGCCGAAATGATCAGTGCTTCCCAAACTGTATAAATAGCTGCTGACATTTTAGAGTGACCGTTTGGAAATTCCATAAATTAGAGTGGTAAAATAAAGTATATTTCTCACGGTTTCGCGTTACTCAAAGTTTTGCGGTCCACCTCTAAGACACTGGCAAAACAAAACAAAAACCTTCAAATAATAATAATAATAACATTTGCCGGAAATGCGCTTGACGAAGCTATGGCAAAATCGCTCGCCCGGCGATCGTCACTTGAGCACATACTTTTGCTTCGCTGCAGTGCGCCTGCTGCTGGTCTTCGTGCCCCAACTGGGCTATGTGCATCCCGATGAGTTCTTCCAGAGCGTGGAGGTGATGACAGGTGAGGATCAGGATGGATTTTATATCTTCGTAAGGTTTACCATATTCCCCGACTTTGCAGGCGATCACTTTCGGCTGGAGCACACGCGCACCTGGGAGTTCAACAATTCGCTGCCCGTGAGGTCAATAGTTCTCCCGTTTGCCCTGCTCCGGATTCCCTGGAGTTTCTACGAATTCATCGCCGAGTGTGTGAGGGCCGGCTGGCAATTGGAACTCCTAGGCACCTACACCTATGTCGTGTTTCCCCGGCTGATCTACACCCTGATCTCGTTCAGCAACGACTACTGTTTGTACCGCATCTGCCGGCTGTATGGACTCCGCTTCGAGATCCGCCTTCTGGCCATGGGCAGCTCCTGGATTCTCCTCGTCTTTGGCACCCGCACCTTCTCAAACAGCCTGGAAATGGCCATGTGCTCCTGGCTGCTCTGCTTGGTCTCCGAATGCATGCTGCGCACGAATACAGTGGTCTACAAGAAGGAGTTCCTGGAGGAGAAGTACGACAAGGCGGAGTCGATTAGTGAACGAGTGCGAATTTGGAAGCTAAAGAACTCTTTGCCACCCCACAATTTGCAGCATCTGATGGCCATGTCCACCATATGTGTTGCTGGAGTATTCAATAGACCCACCTTCCTGCTCTTTGGAGCACCCATGGTCTTCTTTTGGCTGCTGCGCGGGATGGGAACGAGGACCATCACCTTCAGGGACTTTAATCTGCGCATTGTGCTCTTCTGTTTGTGCTCCCTGCCCGCCCTGATCTTCTTCATCTTTTGTGATTCGCTTTATTACCAGCACCTGACCCTAGGAGAACTGCACATGATGCACTTGAGCATCGACAACTTTGTATTCACGCCCTGGAACTTCATCAAAGCCAATCTGGATTCGGCTCAGACAGCCAGCCATGGAGTTCACCCCTGCTATGTCCACCTGATGGTCAACATGCCAATGCTGTTCAACGTCCTCGCCTTGGCTTCTTTGGGAGCCTTTGCCCAGTTGCTGCTGAGATTCTTCCGGGCGGAATACCAAGTGCTGCCGCGCTTCCAGAGTATCGTGTCATTGATGTCGGGGGCCATCTTTGTGCCCCTGTTCTTTCTCTCCCTGATCAACCACCAGGAGCCCCGCTTCCTGTTGCCCGTGACCTTTCCGCTCATACTGCTGCATGCTCCCAAGCTGATAACAGGATTTAGCGCCAAGTATCCCTTCCAGAAGGATCACCCGCTGTTGCGCAGTTTCTACGATAGACTGCTATCCAGCAAAGCTTCGGGACCCTACCTACTGAAGATCTGGTACGTGAGCAATGTGGTGCTGACCCTGTTCTTCGGCTTTATCCACCAGGCGGGCGTTTATCCTCTAGCGGCGGACATCTCACATGTGATGGCCACCAAACCGGCAGCAACGCATGTGCACCTAATAACATCACACATCTACAGCGTGCCCTTGCACCTGATCAACATTCCCAGCTCGAGAGTACTGCACTTCAATAGGCAGACACATCAGCGATATCGCCGCCCAAGAGACTTCTATATGTACGAGTATGGAGGCCTTTCCTTGGACTCCCTGCTGCAGAAGGTAAAACTAATAAGTGGAAACTGCGAGGTGAAGCGGTCCGGACCAAGTCACTTGCGGTACAAGCTTTATTTGGCCATTCCGGCATCGTTAAGTGCAGATCTTCACGAGGCGCTGGTTCAGTCCAATGCCAGCAGCTACCTGAACTTCGAGCTGCTCAATGTCTTCTATCCGCATCTCTCCACGGAGGCGTTTCCCCGCCTCTTGGGCAGGCATCCCTGCGATGTGGATGCTCCCCATTGGGCACACGACGATCTCCGGGGCACTTGTGCTGTAGAGCAGCCGCCAGCACTCAGCTTTGCCTACCTGAACAAGCAGTTTAGCTCCTTCGTCCACCAACTGGGATTGGCGCTTTACGAGATCGATGTGAAGCGCAGAAAGCCGCGATCTGTATTGCTGAGGAAGGTCTCCTTGACGGAAACCCCGGCGTAGGACTTATTCTTTGGCCATTCCAAGTGCCTTAAACCAAAGATTAACTATTTATTGTAACTTAAGTCTTGTAAAGCACAATTTCCGAAAACTTCTCTCAACATTCCTAATTAGTGCACAAAAAATTTACATTTATAAATACGCCTAGTCATTACCAAATACTTTTTTTAAACTACCAATAAGTTTTGACTAAGTTTAGTCATCCTGACCCATAGTTAAATACGAATACTCAAGGACAATAATACTGAGTGACCAAAGATAAATGGGGCAGTTGAGGAAAATATCCTATTTAAAAGGGTAAGTTAGATCTTGATCAGAGAAATTTAATAAGTTCTGTCTAACAATCAGTAATCAGAATCATAATTCCGTCCATTTCAGTTGTCGAACGCTGGAAAAAGTAATCCATTTGACACGCCGATGGCTGTTGGCTGCTAATTCCCGACAAACATCTGAGGGTGTGGGCACGGCATCCGCGTTCATTGAACGTTACCGGGCAGAATTATCATTGCGGACGCAATTGTGTTCTGATTCAGATTTTTGTATTTGGGCTGCCTAAGCCGTAAACCCGTTTTGGCAATGCGGCGACAATTGGCCTATAAAATGCTGGAGAAGTTTGGACAACAGCATCAGTCACTGACAAACCAACCAACCCAAACAATCAAATCAACATGAAGGTAAGACACAGTTTGACTATCAGGATGTTCAGCCATTAAAGGATTCGTTTTCCCCCAGTTCCTTATCTGCTTGGCTCTCTGCATCGCCGCTGCCCAGGCTGGCTACCTCGCCTCTCCAGTGGCCACCTACGCCGCTTCACCGTATGCTGCCACCTATGCCGCTGCCCCTGTGGCTTACAGTGCCCCGGTGACCACCTATGCCGCTGCTGCTCCTGCCTACTCCACCTACTCTACCTACGCCGCCGCCGCTCCTGCCTACTCCACTTATGCCGCTGCCGCTCCCGCCTACACTGCCTCGGTCTACAGTGCTCCTGCTTACACCGCCCCTGTGGCCACCTATGCCGCTGGTGCCGCCTATGCAGCTCCCATCACCACCTACTCGGCTCCGGCCATCGTCAGCCCCTTCCTGAAGAAGAAGTAAACTGCACCCATCATTGACCCATCCAAACGATTCGATAAACTAAATAAAACGCCAATCTAAGCGAAATCTAATGTCTTTTTCAAAAAAAAATTGTAGCTCTACAAATATGTAGCTTTAATGGAGTCTGAATTAGTGGGTCCTTTAAGTTTGAACTGTAAGGACTTCAACTGTATGCCTCAATAATGATGGATAAGTTGGCTTCGAAATCAAACGAAAAACGGATTACCTGAAATCGAATTTAGCTTGTGTTTATTGTACATACATTACATTTATTCTATTCGGGCCGACTAAATCGCCCAAAGAATAAAATTTTAGTACCCTGTACGACGGCAAACAAAAAAGGACGATTACAAGTAACCTTAAAGACTGCCCTGCTTCTCCTCCTCCTCCTCGATCGTAATATTTCCAATTCACTGTCTAAAAATGAATTAAAAAATTTAAAAAACAATCCATAGAGAACTCAACGGTGAGATACTGAACCTTCGGATGCTGAGGACCTGCCTCGCCGTTCATTCACCTCGATAGAGGCCGAGTGGGCTATGCTGTCGATCTTCAAGGTTTCCTTAGATTTGGTGAGATGAGTTAGATTGGGGTGGTTGAAGATGCTCTTTACACCCACATCAACCAGTGGCTGTGCCATGTCTTGGTCATATTTTATCTTGAACTTTGGCAAGCTTATGTTAACTCTTTTTAGCTTCAGTTGTTGCAAGTCGAGATGCTCCAGATTGTCCTCCAGATTTCCGATTCCCCGAAAAGTTCTGGGCACAATCATGACCATGGATAGGTTTGAGTTGCCGTAGGGGAACGCCACTATGTGTGAATCTAATTTACTTTGAAAGTTATATTTGAAATTTCCCAACAGATCCATCATTTTCACGCGAACAGAACGTTTCTCATTCGGCAAGTAGAAATTTCTTTCCGCACTGTTAAACTTCAAGAAGGCTTCGTAACTGGCGGCATTTACCAGAATAACTTTCGCCGTGTCGTCCATCATGAAAGGATCTACCAGATCAACGACCTCGCCCTTCGTTTTTGAAGTTATCCACTGATTGACCTTGTTAACACCCTGATCACTTAGATCGGTGCTCTCGGCGTCGATATTAAAATAACTCTTGGACATTTTTTGGTATGCTGGTAGAATGGAAAAGCCACTTGATAAAAACAATCGACTGATGATTTTCAACTGTGGGTTCTTGGCCCGCCGATAGGCCTCCATGACCTGATACTTTGATTTCCCCGGATAGCTCAGAACGTCCTTTAACTCAGCTTCAGTTTCTCCGCCGGCTCCCAGGTAAATTTGGGCCAAGGCCATCTCGATGGCCGCGGGACATACGACTATATTAATATCGGAATGTTCTAAGACCACCTTCGAAACCAGCTGAAGGGTGGTAAACTTTCTACAAAAGACCCCATCTGGAATGCAGTTTACGAACAGCAGCAGATTCCACACGATCCTAAGCATTGTTAGAGAGTCACTAATAGATCATTGGTCATTAACAACTTTTCAGTAAAATGAATTCGCTACAGATTATTTATTTATTTACGCTTGTTAAATGCCTAAATCATATTGAATCGCCACTATAGCTACAGTTGACTTACGATCTAGGGAGTGATAGAAGCGAAATACAAAACAAAGAGCAATATTCGAGATGTTAGATGGACTCAATGGAGATTGTGGCTCAAGTACATGGGGCTCTTCGGTGCGTCGACATCCTCGAAGTCGAAATCCTCCGTTTCGTCCTCGTTCCAGCGCACCGTGCGATCACCACTGGTTTTTTTATCGATCGGTTTTCGGTGGAGTTGTGGGGAGAGAAAGTAAGTTCAGAATATATAGACTTTGTCGCTGTGAACACAATAAGAATTTGTGTGTGTTTTGGTTGGTACTCTTGTCTCTGGCATGTGCACAAGATTCGATCAAATCAATCAAAAAACCAAAAGTCAAAATCAAAAAACAAACTCATTGGCAACAGAAAACGGTTAATAACGTTGGTAGAACCTGTTCAAGCCGGCCGCTGGGGGAGGAGGCGGCGGTGGGGCGGACCTGGGCGGCGTGCGTCGGGCGCTGAAAGATCATGGAAATCATTATCAATATCCCAATATCACTACCTCAAGGTGTCACAGAAATCTGAAGTGGAGCTAAGTTCTTTCATTTCATTGAATAGATCTTTTCCGGTCAATCAACTTCGTCATAATTACGATTCAGTTTCATTCATAGGTTGGTCAAGTTATAAAGATATTAAAAGATATATGACACTTGAAGCGTTTTGAGATTCGCTATAATCATTAGGACGGTATACATTTTAATGGAAATTTTTAAGACCCTACTCATAATAGCTCCACTTCCTAAGAACTATTGCAGAACTATCTTACAGAAAGTAATGATCTATAGTAGGTCTATAACGGTGCTCCAGTCCGAAAAACCATCCGAAATATAGCGGTTTTTATAGATTTATCTGGAAAACCCAAACTAGATCGCGAGAATTCTGTAACACCCTCTAGTACTAATGACTTACGCCGCAACGTCCGCATCCAAATGACCAGCACCGTAGGCATCGCTTTCATCCAAGTCGAATTCATCGGTGCCGGTGCGTTGACTATAGGAGATATAAGGTTATTTAGATCTTAGAGGTATATAATTTGTTTCAGAGAAGAATTACTGGGTGAGACTCGTGGGTGTTTGTGGGTGGTGCAGGTGCTATTGTGACTTTGGCTAGGGATTATCTTGGGTTTGCGGGACTGAGACACTCACAGGCGCTGATTCCGCTTGTTGACAATGTCCTGCACAGCTCGGGCGGTCAGCGAGACCTTGCTCTTGAGACGCATCGGCGTCCGGGGCATCGGAATGGCGGCCGGAATGTCCGGATTTACGCTGAGCACGGGAGTTATGGGACGCCGGACCGTTTCACTGCTAGCTCTATCCGCATTGGTACTACGTCTGGCATGCGCAGAGGGGGGCAGAGAGTGAGCAAAGTGAGGGAGAGGGCTTCGGACTTCGGGGTCACCAACGGGGTCACTTACAACTTGGTCTTAGTACGGAGATTGGAGCGAAGGCTGCGCGGATCGGGCCTCTGTTCGGGACTGACACTGGACTGATTATGGCTATGGCTATGGATCTGATTCTGGTTCTGGCTCTGGGTCTGCCACCCTCTGTCCTCGTGGGCATCCTCAAAGTCGAACTCCTCAGTGCCTTGCCGGCGACTTTGGATTAAGGGTATGAGATAAATCAAAAGAGCAGGGCTTATCTAAGGACCTCGACTTACAGGGGCGTCTTGATCTTATTGCGCGACTGCCAAATATTGAGTATCTTTCTAGTCTGACTGCTCTCGCGGTCTCGCTCATGGGAGTTGGCCCTACTGGGTCCGCTGGATGAGCCCCAATTGTCATCCTCGGGATCGTGGCGCCTGATATGCAACATGGAATGGAATGAGATGCGGTGCCTCAGCCGAGGATGGCTACTCACAGCTGCTGGCGACTGCGACTGCGGACCGGCGTGTTTAAGGCAGAAACGTCACGACCCCTGCTCAATTCCCGCTCCCGACTCCGCTGATCCCGTTCCCGCACCCGCTCCCTGTCCGTATCCCGCTGGCTCTGCTCCTGGCGCCGTTGTGGTTGTTGCTGCTGCTGCTGCTGCCTGGATGGAGTGGAGTCTTCATCGGCCAGGTCCAGGGTCTCTTCAGTGGCAGTGCGTCTTCTGTAAGGTTATACAATTCAGAGTCAATAGGTCAAGAATAGGTCAGAAGATCTTTAATGTAATGATGTCATTGTATCTGTTGTGCAAAATAATTACATCTTTTAAGCAAGTCAGTAATCGAGGTCAACACCAATTATATTTTTTATCTGTGCGGCAAAAAAGTAATATTCTTAACTATGAAAAAAGAAAACACGATTGAAATAAAATGCCAAAACTCATGTGAAATGATCGAGGTCACCAATCATAAATGAGTTTAATTTGCAACGTAACCATATCAAAAAATATTATGAAGAGTGATTCCAAAAAGTCGTACACTCATTAGAAAAAAATGGGTCACATATTATATGAGATAGTTAAAAAATCGGGGTCAGCAATCACTATTATTACTTTAATTTAAATTTTAGAAAAGATTTTAAAATGTTCAACACTCAATTGTTAATTAGAAACCAATGAATGTCTAATAAAAATATCCATATATGACAAAAACTGATATTCTGATTTAAAAACTGGTTCCCAACGTTTGACTTACAGTGGTGGCTTTGGTCTCGCAGTGCTGCTGGTGCTTCTCTCCCGGCTCTGCTCCCTCTTTCCACTCCGCCCGCTGGCCGCCGAACTGCTCGTCCGCTGCTTCTTCCGGCCACGACTTCCGCTCCGCTGCTCCTGCTCCGGACTCCGGTCGCTCCTCCTGTGCCTGCCCTTATTACGCGCCTGGGCCGCCTGCATCACATTTAGCCGCGTTTGCACGGTGATTAGATTGAGGCCCACCGGCGTGCCAATGGCCCAGAGGAGCAGCGTGAGGAAGATTAAGAAGGTCAGGCCGTTGATGAAGTCGACCATGTTGCGGCAGAGGAAGGTGCGGCTGGCGTCGAAGGTGTCGTAGAAGGGTCGGCACTTGGTGGTGGTGTCGCCCAGCTGGGACTCCATGGTGGCGCGACTCGTGGTCAAGTAGGCCTTCAGGCTGTGGCGGTAAAAATAACTTAGAGTATCTCCAAAAGGATAATAAAAGAGCATTGAAAAATTCGAATCCAATATGTTGTGCTTTTAAAACAATTGCGTGGGTGCAAGCAGCAAGGGTTTTGAAACCATTAAAAAAGGCGCCGGAATGTATGCGTAAATATATTTAAAAGCAGTCAGACACTAACGAAGTTGTGCTTATTTTTTCAATGCATACTTTTAGCCACCTTTAAATTAGACTTCTTTTCATGATTTCTTGTTTATTAATTAATTTAATTTATTTATGAGAAAAGTTTAATTTTTTTCAAAGCTTAATATTATTTAGAATGCTTTATGCAAAATTGTAAGCAAAATGTATTTCAATAAGTTCATATACCAAAATCTATTCAAATTTACTAAGTACTTGAACTTACGACAATTAAATGACAATTTGATTGTTTATTGGCCATATTGTTCAGAGAGCACTTGAGTTCACAAGTGCTGCAACAAGAATACTAACGACACAAGAAACTCAAGGCCAACCTTTAAACGACAAAGTACATTTGGACAAGTACAAGCCACCACTGGCAGCAAAATATTTAGCATTCCTGCCCAATTCACCTATCATAAATGCGATTGTGTGTCTCTGTGGCAAACGTAAGTGTGCACTTGGAAAAACACTAAAAATACAATCATGACACTTGGTAAACTTAATCAAACGATTAGGACTTTCAATTATCTGATAAAGCCGGAAACTATGTGCAGTGCTTCCGAGTGCACCACCTCCTACCATTGTTTGAGTTGTTTGTTTCTCTGCCAGTTGGGGAAAGAGCAACACAATAATAAAACTCAAACACGCAGACAGACCGAGAATTCAGCTTCAAGTGCGCTGCAGGCGGTCGGAAAAGTGGCTAAATGGGAGCACTTTTGAGTGGGTGGGGTCTTGACTCTCGGTCGAAAATCACTGGGACTTTGCCGCAATTAACAGTGGCCAGACCATTTTCAGGTGTTTAGTGTTTTGATGTTGCATATAATAATGGAAATTGAGGTTTAGAGGTTTATTTTCATTTGAAATAAGTGGAAAAGTATGTTGTGATATATATGGAAATGCTTTTTCGTATGGACTAAACCCAAAAAAATTCGATGTGTTCTGTTTTTTGTTAAGTTAAGTTAAGCGTTTGTAATTTAATTAAATCATTTAGGAGGCTGTCTAAAAGTATGCAATGCAGAAAAAAATTTTATAACATTAAAACCATGGGCTTTCTGGACTTTAAATAAATTGTTGCATACTTTTGTACACCTTTACAAATGATTTGATTTATGAATAAAAGTTTTAAAATTTGTATACCTCGTTGTCCTGTTAATGATTTCTGGGACCCACACTTTGATAACCCCTATATAGTACTATATCTTACCGATCCGTGTAGGCTCGCGTCATATTGTGACATATCTCGCCGGCCTTGTTCTCCAGGTAGCTCTGGATGCTCTTCAGGTGGTTGAGCGTCTGGTTGACCTGCTTGGCCCAGGGATCCCTCTGCAGCTCGAGGGCCGTCAGATGATATAGTATCTCGTTCTGCAGGTTCTCCAAGGGCTGGAGGATCGAGGCCTGCAGCCGCTTGGACCGGCTGCCCAGTGTGGTCATGCGCGAGGACGTGGCCACATCCTGAATCTGGCGACACAAATCGGATGAGTGAATTGAATTGAATGCGGCATTATGCAGTGCACGTAGTTCCTTTACCCCTTCGACCCACGACCCCCTCTACCCATTTTAATTGAAACTAATCAGGTGGGGTGATACGAGTATGACCAACACCAGCTGCCATCCTTACCTGCAAGGCCACCCGCTGCATTTGATCAATGAACGTGGCCAAATCCTTTTCGGGCGTGGGCGCACCCACGCTGCTGCGGTACGTGGTCAAATTGAACGAGGACGTTTGCAGCATGTTCTCCAAAATGTTCTGGACGGATTGGGTGAGCGAGAGGAGCGTTCGCCCGGACACGGAAATCGCATCGATGGCAGTGGACACTTTTGGAAACTGGCGCAGGTCGGCTATTTTGCTGGTATTCACGAATGCATCCAATTGAAAGACATTGTACGATGCTTGATTTTGCTCGCAGCCTCTGTGTTGCGTCAAAGAAATGTCAAAAGATTGGATGGAAGCCTGAGATTCGCATATGCCCATAATATCTACGGGGAGGGGTTGGTGCATCCCTGTAAATTCGGCCATTTATACCCATACCAAACCCCACATGCATGTGCATTTTGTAGCTGCTCGGATAATTGGAATCGTGCTTAAAATTTGCGGTTACAAGTGGGTGGTGCTGGGTAGTTCAGGATTGTTTAGGGTGGTTCAGGGTGGTTCAGGGTGGTGTGTTTTCAAGTGGGTGGTGCGTGTGGCCAGTTGAATTGGCATTGGCGTGTTCCCTGCAAAATTGAGTGCCATGTGGCTAGGAAATTTCACTGGGCTTTCAAAACTTTGTGGCTTTGGACCGACTGCTCTGTTCCCCTCCGGTTTATTTCGGTTCCGCTCCGGCCTGCACCCTTGAGTTCTTGAGTTCAAAGTGGGATGGATGGGATTTCGAAGCCGAATAACTTTGCAAGGGAGTGCGTTGTGGATGCCCAGGGTTCCGACATAGGAAAAGTTCCAGAGTGGCAACAATAATCACAGAAATGGGTAATCACAGTGGAATCGATTAAAAGCTTTTGGTTGGGGATTTGATTGGCTCACGAGAAGATTTTTGGAAGTGCAGCCAGGCATTTCGGAAATGGAAATATCTATTAAAAGAGGGGATAGATGCAATAATTCATACAAACAGCATGCTTAGAGGGTTTACTTTTTTAAGGGTCTAATGAAGTTGATAAACCTATTTTTATGAATCTTCCTAATTTCCCTCTTAACTGCCAATCGATGATGAAACCCTACACATTGGTATATGTTCATTTTTTCCACACAGTGGAGCATCAGGTAACTCGGTCTTTGGGGGGCAATCAAAATTACAGGCACGTACAGTATCAAAGTAATTGGATAACAAAATTCGTTACTTCAACGCTGGCTGGGCATTTTGGGGCTTTAACATTGGGCTACCTGGGAACTCTGGTTAGTAGACTTGGTCTTTGGACTCACCTCAGGGCCTGGCCAAGACCCACATTGACCACCGAGCGATTGACGCCAGCTGGACGCAGTAGCTCTCCTATGATCCCTGTTTGGGGCTCCCGGGCGTATGCGTAACCCGGTTTGTCCAGCAGTTTGTTTAGCATATTGTAGTCCGGATCATAGAGAGACCGGCAGACGAAGACCTCGGCATTGCCGCCCACAGCCAGGGAAAATACACCATAGAAGGTCAGACCAATGCTGGCCAGGCAGATGAGCATTACGGCGATGAAGAAGACCACTCCGGACTTGACATTCGATTCGCAGAGGAAACAGCAGTAGGACATCAGCATGAAGAGCATCACCCAGACTATCACCGTTCCCGCAATCCATCCCACACTCCAGTAGGAATCCGCCCACTCCTTCAGTTCGTTGTAGGCGGGCTGCATGGATGACCAGGTGCCCTCCAGTCGCTGCAGCAGTCCACTTATCGTCGAGGTCAGCTGCTGGGCATTGGCAGTCGTTCGAAGGCGAATAGTCGCCAACTGTTCTAACGTATCTGCAGATAAGTTAGAGCAAATTCAATTAGCATCCACAGACCAGAACCCAATGACACTAATTAATATTGGGGCTAAACTTGAGAAACTTCTGTGGCTACACAGTAAAAAACTCTCACGAGTAACTCAAAATTAAAGAACATTTTTATTGATACTGTCATTATATGATTTTGTTATTTTCTGGCTGTCTTACCATATTAAGAGACTGTAAAGCTCTTAAAACGGTGTCTTATCTTAGAACAAAATATATTGTTGCATACTTTTAGATACTTTTAGTTTTTGAGCTCATTGAAATTTTAATAAACCTGATAATAAACATTATTATTTCAGATACATTTCTCTATCTGTGTGTTCAGCTCTATGTCTCGGAAATTGCATTGCCAAAATCATAGGGTTTCGAAATGGGGGGGTTGAATGGGAAACCTGACACCTGTGCTATTGATTGAATTGTACACTTTAGCCAGTTGGCATAATTGGGTTTTGGCCAGGGCACAATATGGATTTTGATGTAGGGCAGGCGATTAACTTGGCCTGGTGGAAAGCCAAACTAAAATATCTGGCCCCGCACATCCTTTTATTTTGATTGCCGTACTCACAGTTCCGTTCATATGCCGTGTCATGTTTAACTTGTTGCGGGAAATTGCTGAAAATGGAACGTGACACGCCAACTTCCGATGTCAGATTTTTGACAGTGGCACCGAATTCAATTTCGCCCAAGTAGCGCATACGGAAGATGCTCTGGTCCTCTTGCAGCTGACAAATTGTCAGCGTTGTCGTCATGCCGTTCCGTTGTCCAGGAAATAAGATATTGCGGGTGAAATTAGAAAAACAGTGAGGTTCGAAAGGGAAAAAAGGGGGGAAGGGAAGGAAGTCAGAGTACAAATTATTTATACGTTGAACTAGAAATGAAGGTTAGCTGAGGGGAAGCGAAACTAAGGATACCCTAGCAGAGGTCGTCTATCTAATATTATGTTAAAAAGCCTTGTCTATTACACATATTTTTACGAAACTAATAACCCTAATCTGTATGTTGAATTCAAACTTGCGCATATTATATTTTTAATAAAATATAAATAAATATTTTAAATACATACAATAATAATTGCATGGTTTAATATGAAACCGTTTGAATAAAGACAAAAAATTTTCATTATAACCCAATAATTGTTGTCTTCCGGAATAAATAGAACGGTCTTTCTTATTTACAATTTGTTGTTGCCTACTTTTAGACAGCTTTTGTAGTGATTTAATATATGATACTATATAAAACCTAAAAATATAATCTTAAAAAGCATTTTCCATACATGTACATTTAAAGTACAAAAAATTTAAATATTCATTAAATGTTAAAAAAAACTTTAGATTTAAAATCATTTGAAGGTTCCATAAGTATGCTGTGAAAAAAGAACGCAATCTTTCGAAATAAATGCATCCCACTTCCGTATATACAAAATATTGTTGCATACTTTTAGACAGCTTTTTAAGTGATTTAAATTCCAAGTTATTTCTTTGGAATTCGTGTTTTTTTTACGCCCAAATATAATATACTCTGCCAGAATATCCTCGAAAAAAGCGATATAATCGAGCGGCGCAACGGGGGCAAGGACTCACAGTTTTCAGCGCGTCGACGACGCCGTTCTCCTCGAAGCTGCGTATACGCAACGTGTCGCAGAGCGGGCGGTCGCGGTACGTGCACTGGCGCTGCAGCACGGACAGCTGGATCTGCAGCTCCTCCATCCTGGCGGCCGCCTCCTGGGAGAGTTTCAAGGCCCTGCCCACCGTCTCCTGCAGCATGAGCACGCGATAGATGAGCTCCGCGTTCGCTGACAGCGACAAATGCACGAAAATATTATTATTTGCGGCGTTATTGTAGCGTTTTTTATTTGGGGGTGCTTTTCGGGGATTCAAGGAGTCGCAGGAGCATGATTCCAAATTACACATTGTGTTCGATGGCGAACATAATGGAGTTGTCATCTTGGCAATTGTGTAGGAAGACTCTAGCCGGATCCGGCTGCCTCCGTTTGCATTCCCCTAATGAAATTGGGCGCAAACAATCGCTTTTTGGCCGAGAACCGCTGCCAACATATTTACCGATGGGCTGCGTTTTGCGACTGCCTTGGAATCTGATTTTTCAGATTGTTTGCTCTTGAGTGGAGGGTATAGTTTGGTTGGGAGAAGTGGATTTTCAGTCAGTGTTTTGGGTGGTTAAAAGGATGATGAAAAAGCATTAAGCCTAGGGGAATAAATATTTTGTAAAATATTTCTAACACATCATAACGTTTGTACTAACAATCCATCAATCAATCAATCAATCTTTGATTGGAAATAAAAAATAATGTTTGTTGAGATAAGTTGTCCGCTTAAGAGAGCTTCCGTTCTTAAAAACATTCAATATATAAGCGGTGTCCAATAATGGATTCCCACACACTAATGCCTTTATAAAATACTAACCGCAATCTATGGAAATCGAAATACAAGTGAAATTAAGAGAGGAAAAGTGGAAAATTTAAAGCCCCACCCAAAGGTCACACCCTTTTGGGGTCGTAATTTATTGGGACTGGTTTATTGTCATGTTTGGAAAATAGCGGGTGGTGGATAGGATAGGCCTACTGGGCATGCAGTCCATGCAGGGCACTAACAATGGAATTTGGGTCAAGTCCGTAACCAGACAATCGCATGGCCATCCCATACCATACCATACCATCGCATGGGGAGCACTTAACCATCCGTACTCACCCAGGCTAAGTGTCGTCAGTGAATCATACGCCAGCTCAAGGCCAGTGTGTGCGGATATTTCCGCTTGAATCGGCTCGCCAAGGAGAACATCCACGTCTGAAAGATATACATATATATATAGATAGATTCGCACATTTACATCGCAGTGCGGGAAAAGTTGCAGCATAATGCATGGATCGAAGGCTATAAAATGGGCGGGAGTTCGAACTCGAGTGCTTGGCGACACAAAGTTGGCAAACTTTTGCCAATCGACTGAATTACTGACCTTCTAGATCTTTGACGACCCGCTCCACGGAAACGTGGAAGCCATTATCCAGTTTGTGTTTGATTTGTAGATGCGTGTCCTTCAGAAAGACCTCCACGTCGTGCACGGCTGACTTGACCATCTCGGGCGTCATCTCGATTCCGGCGGACAGGCGACTGTTGGCGTAAAATATGCTGAAGTCGCTCAGCCTGCAAAAAGGGGTTAGCAATGGCAGTTACTTTCCATTCTGAAAGTTAAGCTCTCAAGTTTTTAGAACGCACGTTAGCAGAATGAAAACAATCCACAGGGTGACCAGTCCGGCGCTTTTGCGGCACCGCAAACTCTCCTCCAGCGACTCGTCCCGGATGTTACAGGGGGCATTCCGTATGTGGTCCACCTCCTCCTGGGTGGAGCGACGACCACAGCACCAGGCACAGGTGGCAATGAGGGGAACCAGGGCCAGGATGGCGAACACGCTCATCAGTGCAATAAAGCCGGACTCGATTTTAATGGCCTAAAGTGGGGATAGATACTGTAGATATAGGTACTACCTTAACTCAATCCTTGAACCACTCACATTGGAGGCAAAGTCCAGCAGGCTGGTGTTTTTGTGTAAGACATCGCGTATGGATTCTGCAAAAACAAACATATCAGATAAGTTCCCAAGTCAGGGAAGTAATTGAATCTCAATCAACCCCTATTATAAAGCTATTTTTCATATTACCTATGATAACAAGAATTTATACCCTGCTCAGAAGCCCAATTTTTTTTCTATGAAACTTCTATGAAACAATAGGTGTTTGAAATATGCTAGTAATAATATGACACAATGCCTAGAAGCCTAACCCTAGAATCTATTTTTCCAACTGATTTTGGTCTAGAAAACTAGAAAAAGCTAAGACCTAAACATGGATCTATTCTTTAATGACAAGACCCTCTTTTTAATAATAAAATCTCTTTCACTTTTATTTCACAACCTGCTCAGAAGCATCACTGGACAAGGGGTCCGCCTGCTCTTCGTTCAAGTGCTGGATGACCACCACGTTGCAGAGATTAGCCTGGACCAGAGTACGGGTGTCTGTTTCGAGGAGTTCCTGCCGCGGAAAGGAGGTCATGAGGACAAAGTTTCGGGTGGATAACTCCGGCCTGGCCAGTCGAGCGTACCGATAGAGATCTCCAACGTTGTGGGTGAGATTGAAGCGTCCTGCCACGCGACTTCCATCTGCCATCCTCAACTGCACCGTCGTAATGGCGGCTCTTTCGTTGAGCTGAAGGTTCTGGGGCTCCACTGGCAGGGGCAACATGCCCACCACAATCCGGGACGGAGGGCTGTTCAGCGGTCTACCAGGTCCCATGAACTGTTTCCGCGAGAGATGGCGATAGGGTTCGTTGGTGTGATCCTGCACGCTGAGCTCAACCCTGGGCACCCGAAGCATCTCCTCCGGAAAGTCCCCACTCAAGACGGCGCGGAGAAACCTTTCGTTTTCTGGAAGAGTATACGGCCTCAAGGAGCCATCGTCCAGGGAGAATCCCTCGGACCAGAGATGGAGGACCACAATGGTGTGCTCGTCGTCGGTGGGTTCGGACTCGGTATCTTCGGTCGCCGCGCGGGGAGGCGGAATGATGGGATGGGCGCTTCCGAGACGAACGCCATGACCCCAGACCCGCAGACTCCGATCGCTATCGTTGTTGGTTATGGCCGGCGTGGAGTTGTTGATGTTCACCCGCTTGCCCACCGGAGAGACCTCGTGATCGGAGGAGCTGTCGGAGGCTCCTGCCTGGTAGCCATCCTGGTCGTTCTCCCGCCTCCGGGAATGTTGACTCATCAGGGACTGCAGATCCCGATGGCTCCCATCATCGACCTGCGCGGGTTCGGGGGGCTCCTCCTTTTTGGCCGCCGCATCCGATACGTAGGTGCTGCTGGCTATATCCAAGGACCAGTTGTTGGAACTCAAGTACCGGCGGGCCACCTCCTCACGCACCCCATGTCGCTCCATGAAAGTGCTCAGCTTCTGCTCATCGGTCATCTGGGCAGGCACGACCAATTTTGGTGCTCTTTTTATTGGATTTATTGAATTTACAAACACATATTGTCCGAAGGGGGATCACTGTAGCTAGGCCGACTGGGCCCCAAAATCCTTGTGGCAGCCCCAACCTCTCACCCAACATGCATTTTTAATGGGAAAGGGGTCAGGGACAAGGGGACCACTGCTCGGGGATTAGTGCCGTAGAAACTATTTAAGCCTTAATTGTTTTAAACGTACAACTTAGTATTCGTGCACTGGGAAAAATACTGCTTACGACTGGGTGGACAAAAACGAATGTTTATTTCATTTGAGTTCGATTTTAAAATTTGTAAATTTAATAAAGACACTCGGAATTGGTTGCCTTTAATACCTCTTTTTAGTTAATTTCTTAGTTACTTTTATATTTGTTTATCTGTACAAGGTACCACAAAATGTTTGTTATAGAAATCCAATTGCTCACAACCTTATAAATTGCTTCGTCAAGGTTAAAATTATTTCGTAATACTTTTTTTGGGGCTTAATAAAATTGAATCAATCTAAAAAGTACATATTTTTGAATATTTCACTTATAAAAAATTAATATAGTTTTCAAAGGTGTCTAGAAGTATGCAGTAAACACTTTCCATATTAAAAATATATTGTTGCATACTTTTGGATACCTCTAAAGAGATGTTAGGACCCTATTGGTTTCTGAGCAGCCTCAATTTATACTATTTTTTTCTTGTGCACAACTTAACCCGGCACTTTCATGTGTGCTGAATAACTTGCCTACCTATCAAATGCTGTCCTGAATTTACATCTCTAATGCCTTCATTGTTGGCAAGCAGACACCCAGCCACCCCGGCAACCCCTTCCTTCGGTATCCTTCGAACCCATATATGCACACAAGGACACGGCCACGCCCACTGCGACAGGGGGCGGACGGAGGGGACTTACCCAGCGGCAATTCCTCGGGCGTGATAAGCGATAAAAATTCACTAACGTAGGTGAATATAAATGGTCCTGGCGCAATGTCCATGCCTGGTATGCTGTAGGTAAAAAATGTGGCCGGCGTTGTTGTCGTCGCTGCCGTCGTTGTTGTTGTGGCTAATGCTATTGTGGATCCTGCCAGGGCAGACGTCGTTGGTCCTCCTCCTGCTCCCACTCCTCCTCCTCCAAAGGATCCAAAGCCCATCGCCATCGCTGCGGATGACGAGGACATAATTGTTGTTGCGGCTGGCGTTGGCAGTGTTAGATTACGCTGGTCCATCTTCGGCCGGATGGCTGACTTGTCCTGGCTGGTTCCCCTTTCTGCGAATGAATTAATGCGGAACAGGCATGACCATGAATAGCCGAGGAGCAACCGGGTAACCAAGGGGTAACCCAGGGGAGTTAGGGATCCGGCTAAACAAAAACCGAAACACTCACATAGGGGCCACACCGAGAATGTTGTAAAATATTTTCGGAATTTTATGTTCCAATTATGCATTCATATGTATGTTCCTACGGCTTGCAGGCTGGGATTCGGTCCCCAAAACACCCCCCAGTAACTCACAAAGACTATGTGACATTCGCCAAATTAATGAATATTGCTGCTTCGTGAGGAATTTTCACATAATTTTCACACAAATTAATTTTGTGCGAACTAGATTTTGTTTATTAAATGCAGAATCACCCTATTCTGGGGTAACTTAAAGGTGTGCGAAAGTTTGCTTCATCACATTACGTATACGTAATAATTGGAGTTTATTATATTATTTTATTTACTACAGAATGGTGCTATAATAATTATTTAAGAGCCTTGTTCTGGTTCTATAAAACAATTTTGCAGGACTATTTGGTTATTAAAGTAAATTATAATTATTCAATTGAATTATACTTTTCAATTGACAAACTATTTTTGTTATTTCGTTTTTGTTGTTTCGATTGTTTAATGAAGAATTTGACATATATTTCTATTTTTAAAGTAATCTAATTTATCAAGCTTTCAAATATATAATTGTTTTTGCCCAAGAATGAAGCTTTCAAAATTCGCCAATATTTATTAAGCATACGCAGCGTGTGCCCGAACTGCTTTTCTGTCAAGGTTCCGTTCCATTTAATTGTCGTCCCTGAATATTGCCTTGAATTGAATTCTTCACCTCTTAATTCTATTAATTTCATGTTTCGCTTTGCTGCTATCTTGTGCTGTCTTTGCCCTTTCCAATGTTGTCAACACAAAATCGAGACAAAAAAGCAGGCAAAAAAGACTCTCTTTTTCACCTAATACAGTACACATATCAATGGGTAATGACTTTCAGAGACTGTGAAATTACTCTTTCTGTGTTTTTTTTTTCTCTTTCCCCACTTTTTGGGTCTGGGACTAGACATCTCTTTTGGTGCGGGGCCCGAAGAAGTGGGAAAACACCCCGGGCAGAAGCCCCCCAAGTGTCCGTTGGCAAACTCAACTCATTTGTTTTCCTTGACAATACTACGCTCGCCGTTTGCCGCCTTTATCGGCCATTCATGTTGGCCAATGGCCATACTAATTGCTCTGCCAGGGGACTTTCAGAATTAGTCCAAACCAATACAGATGGCTGGCCGAACTTAAACAGTCTTGAGCTGGAAAGTGGGTCATTAAAACTCGATACCCCGATGCATTGGTTGGTACTTTGCAAAGGTTCTATCTATATATATATATAAATATATACGTCTGGATGTCTTGCTGGCTCTGCATGTGCGATTATGTTAGCCAAGTGGACACGAGTCAAGGCGCTCGAATTTGCTGGCCAAGCTTTTCCGAAGGCAACTCGATACGCAATGTGTGGACTTGTTGTCGGCTATTATCTCCCTATTATTGTAGCCATTGCTCTGCTTGTTAGAAAGATATTAGTGAAAGCCGTTCAATGATAACGGAGGAAGTATTATAAAGCGAGGGGGCAGAGTTCAATGCATTGGGTCACAGCCAGTAAAAGGCTTTCAGAGCGGCTTAGAGTGGAGTTATTCACATTACTTTACAATGGGCTAGATATTGAAGTGGTAGGGTATGGTTGAAATATCTGGAGATTTAAAATCAATAGCTTAAGTGCCCAAAAGCGGCCTTCTAGATTTGTGAAGCTATTGACAATACATCACAAGGGGGTAAAACAGCAGGGATGGGTTAAAATATCTAGAGATTAAAATCAACATTTTAGGGACTTTAAAGTTATCTGCTAATTGTCATAGAAAATTTCTTAACAAAATAAAAGCTCCTATTTAAAATAGTCTTTAAGGCTTACTTTTAATGTAGCCACACTTTTTTTTTTACTTTCTTGAGACCTTTATATTGTACTAACATCGAAATTATTTTCTAGCTTAGCTTCTAGCTGTCATCCGTTAAAATCAATCATAATTTTAAGCAAAGATACTCTTAAACTTAAGATAAAACTTATTAATTGCCTACTTTTAAGCTTAATTTGCTTATGTCATTCCTGTGGAGTTCTGTGTAATATTTATGTGTATACAGGGAATACAAATTTTCAAAATGAAGTCAGCAATTTGCATCAACTTTAATGAGTCAGACTTAACGCTCCAGTTTGTGCTAATGCACCGGATCCGATTAATTAACAAATTGCACGCCAAATGAACTTACGCACCTCGTTTGGGTTCCCAATTAATTGATTGATGTTGATTCGAAGCCCTTTCACCCTTTCACCCTTTCTCTTCTTCTTTTCTCGCCAAAACACTTGCACACACACTTTACACAGGCAAATATGGTGTGATTATGGGTTTGACTTTGCAAACCATGCTTTTTAATTGAACGTTATTTAAATTCGATTGCAATTAGTTTGATATGTTGATTCGTTTCGTTTATTTGAACACTCCGTTGCCGAAACGGAACCCGAAATTGAGTTGAAATCGATTCGTAATTGAGCACATTGGAATACAGGGTTTTTGGCCCACGTTTATTTAAACGCTTGCGAATTTGCGACAATTTTTCGGTGTTTACATTGCAGGCAATCAACCCGACAATTATCAACCAATTAATTATTCATTTTCACATAATTAGCAATGGTGCTAATGGTGGGTATGAGTGTAATAAATGTGTGTCCTGACTCGATTTACTCCGCGATTCTGCCACAAAGCTCGACCACCGCCGTTCGACGACTGAACGGTGAAAAGGTTTTAGGCCCAAATAATCAGCAAAGAAAACTTAGAAATTTTTCCCTGCTTTACTATTTGCATTAACCGAATAGCGAGTGAAAATGGACAAGAGGCGTATGGTGAATATTGGCTAGTTGGTTGCAATTTTTCTTTGCTCTAAGGGAAAAGCACGTGCTGCTGGGGCGAAAAAAGAATGACGGGAATAAAGATGGTAGCGATACGAAATGTGGAAATATTCACAATTGAAAACGCGAATTCTTCAGTTAAATTTTTAAATTTTGCCAAAAAGTATGCAATGTTTTCTGCAGAAATCTAATAAGCACCAGATGTTGTCACTCCAAGCCCTTCCAGCCGTCTTGAGATTTAACTTCGCCTAGATGCCAGGTTGTTCTGCATAGCCTGGCTAAGAGCTCTTTAGTTTTCGTGGAAATGCCAAATATATCTCATAAGTACTAACGACCAATTTCGCAGTTCTTGTTTGTGTTGGCGGCAGGCGCCTTGAGCTTTGCATTAAGTAGACTTTACTTTAAAGTTGCATCAACGCCGAGCCAGACAAAGTTTTGCCATCGCTGAAAGCCGAAAGCGGAGCAGGCTAAACTTAAGCACCACGATGGCATTGCTGATGGAGATTCGAGGAGGGGTCGTCATTTTCCCCGCCATTTTCCTCAACATATTGTCAGAGCTCGCAGCGGGAGGCGCCAATGACAACGACAACGAAAACGACAACGACAACGACAACGCCTGCCTCCGTGCCAGAAGTGCTTTTCATGGCTAAAATTCAATTTCCCTTTGATTTATGCATTTTACGTCAGATTTGCACGCCTGCCCCAAGAGGCTTTCAAACTTAAAGTCTGAAATGATGTCCCAGTGGTTCGGTATGCATTCGCTCCTAACCGGAAACATCCGCAAAGGTGCCTCCAGTTTGATAGCACCACATTCACTTCCGGTCTTTTTGGTTCTTTTGTGTGCACTGTCGTCCTTTGTGCGGCGTATCAAATGTATCAGTTCGGTCACAAATGACTCATGCAGAAATGCATCTGCGGTTGCCTGGGGCCACCAAACTCAGGACCATCAAAGGTGCAATGGGGTTGCCAAATTACGACAACCTAACGGACAACCATATAAGTTGTGTGTCTAAAATCAATATTTGAAGCAAATAGTCAAGAGTGTCAAAGAAACCACTGTCTTTAAGTTCGCGTGTAAAGGTGTTCGAAAGTATGCAGCAATATATTTGCACTTTTAGACATCTTTGAAAATGATTTCTGTTTTAATCCCAAAGAATTACTTGTTTTAGGAAACGCTGAAGCTGTAAAATCACACCATATACATATACTGGTTGATTGAATACTTCCTTTTAAACTTTACTCAAACGCGAGTTCTCAAGCATTATCATTTGATGTTAGGTTGTGGTTCCCTACAGTTCCCAAACAGCTCTTTTTCCTTGGTAGGCATTTTGAAATAAGATTCTAGATTTATTCTTACTGTGATGGCGGTATTTTTTCATATTAGCTATATCAATTTACGAGAATCAGTAGGAAGGGAGTAAGAAAAACGCTACTTATTGAAACCCTTAGACCACAATCGGAAAGGGATTTGATAGTGGTTGTTATCCAATCCTTGTAGTAAAGAAAGCTCACGAACTTCATTGCCTTGCCGCCCGCACATCCCTGATGTCCGCCAATGAGTCCGAGCAGAGCCCCATTGCAAAGTAGTGGTCCGCCCATGTCACCGGCACAGGTCTGTCCCTCGCCCACGGGCTCCGTGCAAACATAATGATCCGACGTAAAGGAACCGTCGTGCTTTTGGCACAGCGATGGCGGTCTTATAATAACGTCCAAATAAAGCAGTTCATCTGAGTAAGGCCCGTGCTGGGAATGGATTTTATTAAGAACACACAAAGGTTATCTTTATTTGTTACCTACTGTGCGTGTGGCGGCAGAGGAATAGGAATAGCTCACCTGATATATCTGGCCCCAGCCAAGGGTCACACATGTGTCGCCATAGGTCACATTGGCCATTTTGCGCAAGAGCAGCGGCAGTACGTCGTGGTTGGAGCTCGGGATGCGTTCGGCTAGTCTGAGGACGGCCAGGTCGTTCTTCTTATAGCGCTCGTACTCCGGATGGACCACCAGACGATCGACGAATCTTGTGTCGGCATCCTCATAGTCCGCCAGTCGAGTTATATGTGCGAAAACCACCCGAATGCCCCGTGGATTCATCGAGGCCTTGTACCGACTGGGGGAGGATGATTACCCAATTACCCAATTAGAGAATGAATTTCCCAACTTAAGCACCTGGAACTCACTCCGTTAGACAGTGGGCGGCTGTGAGGACCGCTCGACTGCTCACCAGGACTCCGCTGCAGAAGTGATTGTCTCCCCGGTGCCTCACATAGTTGTGGGTGCGGATCGATACCACGTGACGGGACAGTCGGTTGCTCTTTGGCTTATATCCTCCAGATATCAACATCTCGAAGGTTTCGTCGCTTATGTCGCCGATCACTCCCAGTTCAGCCTCCGACAACGATCTACTCAAGACAAGTCCCAAACACACCACAGTCAGAATTTGCATGGTTCATTTGTTTTTCAAACTGAACAGAAATTATTTGAAGCATATGTAAAGGGATATAGTGTAACCTTGTGAGATTCGTGCGATGAAATTGTAAAGCTAATGCAAATTTTCACGTTTCTAGATTGGAGTAAGATTATGTTTTACCAGAATATTCATCACTAGATATTATATTTTATTCTACTGTTGATATGCTTCTCTATTATCTCAAGTAATAATGTCTTGTATTGTTAGTTATAAAGGGTTTATTTTGGTTCGAGTCCTATTCTACGATTTATAAACAATTAAAAAACAAGGAAGAACGCTATAGTCGAGTACCTCGACTATCAGATACCCGTTACTCAGCTATATGGAGATATGCAAGCAGCAAAGCGAGATTAAAATGCCCCACCTACCGGCGGTATACAGATTTAAGCGTTACGGGCGTTAGAGTGGGCGTGGCAAATTTTTTTTTGGATCAATCGATAGGTATCGACGAGACCAATACATTTCAGTTAAAATTTTTTATCTAGCATGAAAATTGTGGGCGTCACAGGTTTTCGCGGTTTGTGGGCGTTAAAGTGGGCGTGGCAAACTTTTTTTTGGGTCAATCGATAGGTATTGATGAGAACAATACACTTCAGTTAAAATTTTTATTCTAGCATCAAAACTGTAGGAGCCACAGTTTTGGGCGGTTTGTGGGCGTTAGAGTGGGCGTGGCACTGTGCCGAAACAAACTTGCGCTGCGTAAGAAGCTCAGAAATCTTAACGCCAAATCTCAATAGCCTAGCTCCCATAGTTTCCGAGATCTCAGCGTTCATCCGGACGGACAGACAGACGGACAGACGGACAGACGGACATGGCTAGATCGACTCGGCTAGTGATCCTGATCAAGAATATATATACTTTGTGGGGTCGGAAACGCTTCCTTCTGCCTGTTACATACTTTCCGACGAATCTAGTATACCCTTTTACTCTACGAGTAACGGGTATAATAACATAATTATGTGTTGCTGTCAGAAAAGGAGCCTTTTAGGGATCCTAGCGAAAAACAAGGAAGAACGCTATAGTCGAGTACCTCGGCTATCAGATACCCGTTACTCATCTATATGGAGATATGCAAGCAGAAAAGCGATATTAAAATGCGCCACCTACCGGCGGTGTACAGATTTAAGCGTTATGGGCGTTAGAGTGGGCGTGGCAAATTTTTTTTTTGGATCAATCGATAGGTATCAACGAGACCAATACATTTCAGTTAAAATTTTTTATCTAGCATGAAAAGTGTGGGCGTCACAGGTTTTCGCGGTTTGTGGGCGTTAAAGTGGGCGTGGCAAACTTTTTTTTGGGTCAATCGATAGGTATTGATGAGAACAATACATTTCAGTTAAAATTTTTATTCTAGCATCAAAACTGTAGGAGCCACAGTTTTGGGCGGTTTGTGGGCGTTAGAGTGGGCGTGGCACTGTGCTGAAACAAACTTGCGCTGCGTAAGAAGCTCAGGAATCTGCACGCCAAATCTCAATAGCCTAGCTCCCATAGTTTCCGAGATCTCAGCGTTCATCCGGACGGACAGACAGACGGACAGACGGACAGACGGACAGACGGACAGACGGACATGGCTAGATCGACTCGGCTAGTGATCCTGATCAAGAATATATATACTTTGTGGGGTCGGAAACGCTTCCTTCTGCCTGTTACATACTTTCCGACGAATCTAGTATACCCTTTTACTCTACGAGTAACGGGTATAATTATCTGGGGATCTCTGTACTTTTGCTCAAGTAACTATAATATTTAACCATTGACTTGAGTGTCAAACATATAAATTTAAAGTTCATATATACCAAAATTAATAGGACAAAATTTCAAAATATATAAATGTGCAATCGTAAAACTTTTCTTTTAGTTTATTCAACCGTTATACTATCTTTTATTGGATTACTGTGTCTTTTTTTTTTATGTGTACCTCCAGGTAGTTCTCTTTAAGCACACTTAAGCTCTGATTTAATGTTAATTGTGAAAATGCTACTGCTCAAAGCGGATTCGTTTTATTGAAAGTACTTCTTAAGGTGACCTTCTCCTACAAATCAATAACTATAATAAATTTTAAAATAATGTTCAAATTCCAAATTTTATATAAAAATGGTCTGGTTTACATATGTTCAGCGATTTGCGTGTTTTTAAAAGCGTTTTGTAATATTTAATTTTGTCTTCAATTCTTTTCACTTTGACACCTATTTGTGTACATATGTGACGATACACTAATCGCCAAAACGAAAGTTGTTGCTGCTTAGGGAAATATTTGGGTTTAAAATTTGAAATAATTAATTAAATGTTCAATGAACCATTACCCACAAGGCAAATTAATATTAATAAACCAACGTGTAATATATACTCTTCTAAATTTTTGGTATTAGGCGAAAATGAGTTTTACAAACATTTGGTGACATATATTATAATCTTGGTGTGGCCGATAAATCATATGATATTGATATTTGTCGTTTGGAGAGCGCGGGTAAGTTTTTGAAACTGTTCCTAACAATTTCGTAAAATTTTTAATTTTAAGGAATGGAAATACATAATACCGGTTGAAATAATTTGTGGCTTGCTAGGGGTGTTGGCAGTAACGTATCTGCTCCTGAACCAACTGCATGTCATAGACTGGTACGACTTTCCCGGATATATACACTTCGGTCCCGAAGGAGGAGGAGGAGGAGGTGGTGGTGGAGGAGGCGGACAGAGCCACTATGGAAAAGGAAAAGGCGGAGGAAGAGGCGGAGGAAGAGGCGGAGGCGGAGGCGGAGGCGGAGGTCGAGGAAAAAGATCGACCTCAGATAAAGATAAATCGGATATTTACTGGGCGATCGTAGCTTACGGTAGTTTAGTGATATAACTAGAGTGATGTTGAAAATATTTCTTATTGATTTATAGCATGTTGGAGTTTCTCACTTTGGGTCCCACCATTGGCAAAATCATCTATAGACGCTCTAGAAGGGAACTACGCCTGGCAATGTTCAATTTTCCGTTAGTAATTAAAAAATGAAGCTTGTTCTTAGTAAATTTTAATACATTTTTGTGAAACAAATCTTAATGTGCAAAACATTATGTGACCTGAACAAAATAGATCGATGTATTTTATTCCTAATATGCAGATTTACTTATAATTATATTTCATAAATCACTAAAATAAATTCAACTCTCATCGTTTATTCCAGATTTCTAAAATTAATCATTACGAGCTAAAAAAAAGTTCGTTTTTTTTAAATGACGGTTTAAATAATATTAAGTAAGAATGTATTAGATAAGTTTTTGTAAATGGGATAACTTTAAAGATTATTGATATTAAAAGGGTTTTTACAAAAACTTTTGAAAGTACCTTGTGCTATTCATCAAAATATATTAAAGTACAAAGCCTACACTCAGAAAAAAAATCAAGTATTTCGTGCTTGAACCTAGTATTTTCGGTGTCAAAACTTCGCCAAGCATGGAAAATACAGAACGCGAGAACAAAATACTACTTTCGAGCACGAATTTTCAAGACCCAGTATACTAGATTTAAGAACCTTTCGGTCTTGAATCTAGTATGAATAATTCTTAAATCAAGTCATATTTGGACTAAAAACAAGAACGATTTAATAATAAAGTAAAAAGTTGCAGGCATGATTTAAGGACGAATAATTCTTAAATCAGTATATAAATATTATGAAATTAAAATGAGTTTTTATTTTATGCTAGTAAGAGAAATAAGTATTGAAAACTGAAACGAAATAATGGAGATATATATAAATAATATTAATATTTTAAGTTTACTTACGACTTGCCGCTCACGGGCATTAAAACTGTCTAATTTATGCGCCTTAAATACCGAGTACTTTCAGAATAAACAGTTGGGAATTATTAGAGTTGGCAGACATTAAAAATCCAAAAAGTGCTCAATATGAGAATTTTTTGAGCACGAACGTTCTTAAATGTTAAGAATGCAATTTTTCTTAAATCAAGGCTGTTTGTACTTCTTTTTAGCACGGTGTTTTTCCCTGGGTGTAAAATTCTGGTAAAATTGGTCGGTCTAAAAATTAAAAATAGGAAACTGTTTTATCAATAACGAATTGTAAGTTCTACCCGTTTACTCGTAATGCTCTACATTTACATTACAATAAAAAGGGTTTTTTAAGGTCTTCAAGGAACAGTATGAAATACCCCCAATCAAAACAAGGAAGAACGCTATAGTAGAGCACCTCGACTATCAGATACCCGTTACTCAGCTAATGGGACCAAAAGGGAAATGGAGATATGCAAGCAGAAAAGCGAGACTGAAATGCGCCACCTACGCCTGATCTCAATATATGGTTATGAGAGCGGTAGACAGATTTAAGGGTAATGGGCGTGAAAATTGTAGGCGCTACAGGTTAGGGCGGTTTGTGGGCGTAAGAGTGGGCGTGGCATATTCGCGTAACAAACTTGCGCTGCGTACAAGGCTACGGAATTAAAATCTGAGAACCCACTTCTCTATCTTTTGGTAGTTTCCGAGATATCCGCGTTCATATTTACGATTTTTTCAAGCTTGTGGGCGTTAAAGTGGGCGGTGCAAACTTTTTTTTGGGTCAATCAATAGGTATTGATAGGAACAATACAAATCAGTTGAAATTTTTATTCTAGCATCAAAGCTGTAGAAGCCACAGTTTCGGGCGGTTTGAGGGCGTTAGAGTGGGCGTGGCACATTGCTGAAACAAACTTGCGCTGCGCAGGAATCTTAGGCAGAAGGAAGCGTTTCTGACCCCATAAAGTATATATATTCTTGATCAGGATCACTAGCCAAGTCGATCTAGCCATGTCCGTCTGTCCGTCTGTCTGTCCGTCCGGATGAACTCTGAGATCTCGGAAACTATGGGAGCTAGGCTATTGAGATTTGGCGTGCAGATTCCTGAGCTTCTTACGCAGCGCAAGTTTGTTTCAGCAATGTGCCACGCCCACTCTAACGCCCAAAAACCGCCCAAGCCTGTGGCGCCCACAATTTTCATGCTAGATACAAAATGTTAACTCTCGCTTTGCTGCTTGCATATATCCATTTCCCTTTGGTCCCATTAGCTGAGTAACGGGTATCTGATAGTCAAGGTACTCGACTATAGCGTTTTTCCTTGTTTTAGTATTGGGCTACTCAGATAAAAATTGGTATTTTGGTTACTTACATGATATGCATTATGTTTAGGAAATATATAAGGTTTGCATTTAAAGCGAAAAATTATCTGGGGATCTCGGTACTTTTGCACAAGTAACCAAAATACTTTATCCATTGACTTAAGTGTCAAACATATAAATCTAAAGTTCATATATACCAAAATTATTAGAAAAAAAAAATACAAAATTTGAAAATGTGCAATCGTAAATCGTGTATTTTAGTTTTTTCAACCGTTATACTAGCTTTTAATGGATTACTGTGTCTTTGTTTTTTATGTGTACCTCCAGGTATTTCTCTTTAAGGACACTTAAGCTCTGATTTAATGTAAATTGTGTGTTGAAAATGCTAGCGCTCAAACCGGTTTTTTTTCAATTCTTTCCACTAAGTCCCCCGTTTCTTTGTCTAAACTAAACTTGTTGTTGCTTTGGAAAATTTGTGGGTGTAATATTTTATAACAATTAATTATATGAAAAATATGCCATTAGCTACCCTTACATAAATTAATATTAAAGATCTAAAGTGTAATCTATATTTTTGTATTATTTTATATTAGGCGAAAATGAGTTTTACAAACAATTGATGACATATATTATGATTTTCTTGTGGCCTAAATATAATGTTATGCTAATAATTTTGATTTGGACTACGCGGGTAAGTCTTTAAAACTGTTTCTAACAATTTCGTATTATTTTTAATTTTTTAGAAATGGAAATACATAATACTGGTTGAATTAATTTGTGCTTTGGTAGGGGTGTTGGTAATAACGTATTTGGTTCTAAACCAAGTGCATATCATAGACTGGTACGATTTTCCCGGATATATAATCTTCGGTCCTGAAAGAGAAGGAGGAGGTGGTGGAGGAGGCGGTCATAGCCATTACTATGGAAAAGGAAGAGGCGGAAGAGGAAGAGGAGGAGGAGGAGGAGGAAAAGGCGGAGGAGGAAAAGGCGGAGGTCGAGGAAAAAGGTCAACCACACATAAAGATGCATCGGATTTTTACTGGCTGATCATAGCTTTTGGTAGTTAAGTGATATTGTTTGAGTGATGTTGAAATTATTTATTGATTTATAGGATGTTGGCTGATATCACTTTGGATACCATTACTTGTAAAAGTGTGTGTAGATGCCCTAAAAGGGAACTACGCCTGGGTATATTGAATTGCATTATAATTAAAAAATGAAGTTGTAATAAATTGTGATGATACACAGATTGGATGTAAAATTTAAATGTTACATATCTGACATCTGACCTATTTTTGGGTACAGTGACTCTTAGCGTTGCCATATACAGTGGTGTTCAGGAGCTTAGCACTCAAAGAGAAACACATACGAATCATTTTGATATGTGCGTTCTTACTCTTATTCGTATATTCCTCGGAAAGTATGTAACAGGTAGAATGATGCGTTTCCGACCCTATAAAGTATGTATATTCTTGATCAAAATCACTAGACGAGTCGATCTAGCCATGTCCGCCTGTCTGTCCGTCCGCATGAACGCTGAAGTCTCAGAAACTATAAGCTAACAATTGGAATCTTTGGAAATCAAATTTATTACATGTATTAAAACTTTCGTATTTGTACTATTTTATTTACATTTTGTTTTGTTGTTTCTCCGGCTAGCCGAAGCAAGGTTATAAATTTTCTCTTATACGATCCAAGAAGGATATTTAAAGACCCATTTTGCAATAAGATATTGTCATCTCTTAATGATAATGAACTTGAGGAAGTAGAAGACCATCCATAAACGAGACAAGGGCCAACAAATGGGCGAAATCTAACCATACCTGCGTCATTATTCTATTTGATGTCTACACGAAGAACTTCTGATAATATTCGTACAGTCAGGTGGACTAACAAATAAAATCTTTTTCTTATCCTTTTGATGGTGTACAAAAGAAAGCTAAGATGATTTGTATTACGATTGCAATAGAGCGTGGTGGTCTCAAGGTTTTAATGATTCCAGACACTTTGTTCATGGCTGAACACGGCGCTTTTTATAAACACGATGGGTATGTAAGTCGCTACTTGCCGATATATACCAAAATTTATTCATGCCCGCGCTTAAAAATAACAGGAGTATGGCTTGGTGATATAGGTTTTTATGGGTTAAGATCGTGACAAGAACTATTGCCAGCCCACTTAACCCGATTGTTTCAATTGTACATATATAATAAGTATAAAAGGGACATAAAAAGCAACTAGCAGCATATAATCATTTATAATTATTTTAGTAGACTTTAGCTCCCCGAATAGCCATCAAATACAATAAAGTAAGAATACTGGATGTACGCCCTTTTTACATCCGCCAATCCAAGGGTAGTCTTTTTTCATTACGTTTACACCTAGTGGGATAGTTATTACCATACCAGATGTAAGCAGCCATAACACTATAAAATGAAAATTAATATAATCAGCATAACAACAATGTTACGTATTTACTAAAACAAATAAACAACCACCCAAAATCCATTAACGATACTTAACCCTATCAGAGAACCAACTACAACGACGGTATAACGAATTTCCATTTGTAAAAATTTAAAAAGCATTAGTCATCAGTGAAATGGTGCATTCCTTAATAATTACCTGCTTCAACCAAATCAAAACTAATCCGGCATGGTAAACTATTCACATGCATATTATTACTTACAACAAGAACATTTTGTAAAACTTTTCCTTGTCTGAAAATATATAAGATTTTACTTTTCCAAACACCTGATTTCGATATGGTAAAACTAAGCCCTTATCATGGGCGTATATAATGCATTAAGTATTCAGATATATATATATATCAATAAACAAATTAATTAAATTACTACACCGAAGAATTTGTTTTAAATTTTAAGTAACTTTCGTAGTTTTTCGAAATCTTTTTACAAAGAGTAAGGACTGCAATCATCCTAATTTAGATGGAAGTAAAAACCAAATAAAAAATGTGACTCTAAAATAGGTGTTTGGCTTGTGAAAGAACTATCGAAGGACTATCTAACCATTCGAAAATTGAATGAAAAAATATTTAATAATTTCGGCTTGCCAAAGCTAACTTTCTTCCTTGTTTTTTTTTCCCAATGTCACTGTTATATAGCTTCCAAGGTTGTACTAACATTCTGATTGCCATACAATAGCTAAGAAGAATACGAATTGTTCCAAAACTTTTTTAACAGGTTTTTTGCTTTGCCCATTTCAATTTATGTATAATGCTTAAAACATCTGTTATATTTATTTGATTTATTATTATATTTATGACAATTTATTAGATATCTAAATTGAAAGAATGGGGAAAAGTGTGCGATATAGTCCGGTTCTTCAAGAGCTAGGAGCACCAAAAATAATTATTTTCACATTTTCCACTTCTCGATTTCCCAAGGGGACCTTATAAACCAACAACAACTGTTGACTTAAAAGAATTCAAAACAAATATCTCCCACCGTGCCAAATGTTACCGTTCCGTACTTAAAATCGTCTTATACATGAATTTATACAATGGTTTTATTAAAATAAAAACCTATATTTAATATTAGTACATTATATATAATCGCCAGTTATGTTTACCATTTTTACTCTAATGCATCTAAAGAAGTCCACACCAAATATTACAAAGGGACAAAGCACAATGCGAACTGCGGGCCAAATGCATATTAATGCAGCTTTTCCTGGTCCCATAAAATTTTTTACAATAATAAGAAAAATATTATATATAATAACAAATAAGGCCTTCAATCCGTTCAAAACACATTCAACAATTTTACCTCCTTCCGCGCAGGACTTTACAACCTCCATAATAGCATCCATCATAGCCGACACTTCACTTCCACCTGATTCATCTAACAAACATTTTAAGTACGCCATGACGGCGTTGACAATGGGATCAATCAGTTTGCTTACTGCATTGATTAGACAGTTCCAAAACTTTGCGGTAAAAATTTTAATTAGGAGTGTCGCGTAGACGAGTACTGTGTAGTTATAACCAGCATCTTCATCTTCCTCGGATACTTCATTGTCCTCTCTCTTGTAGTCCGAATCCTCTTCCTTATAATAGTCTTCCTCAGACATCAAGATGCTTGAAAATGCGCACATAACCATAACTAGTAGGATCTTATTCATTTTAATACTTTCTTTGAGCACTCCCTGTTGGTGGTAATAATAGCGAGCAAATGACTTTCAAGTCATGTGTTTTATATTAAATATATTCGTACCTGGTACTACTGTTGTAGAACGGTATATCTATTATTTCAATAATCAGGTTAAAGTGGTGTCAACTTTATATTTTTCGAATATTATCTTTGTTGAAATCGTATTACTTAAGATGAATTTTCTAAGTTAAAAAATATTGGATTTCAATATTCTGTTAAATCTGTTAGCCATATACAATTATTCAACTCTTTAAAAATATATATGCTAACAAGCCGAGTTAACAAAATATGTTAATGCAATTAGTTCAGTTTTTTGTTGCTTATTTTTTTCGCTTCGCTTTTTACCCGAATGGGGGAGATTTAATTGTCTGTCAAATACCCTTTCATCGATCAACACATGGTGAAAGGCGTTATTTTATTCGTACTAGGTTGAAGAAGGCGCATCCGAACATCTCTATTTTCTTGATCAGGATGAACGCAAAGATATCGGGAAAAATTAGGCTATAGAATGTTTTAGAAGTTTGTTTCCAACGATTGCCGCGTCTAGTATTTATTTGAAACGATATGTGAAAAATCTGTGGCTCCCAGTTTTTATTTTAGAACTAAGATACATATAATATTCAAATCCGACAATTATCTGAGAAGTTCTTTATAAAATAAGGAAGCTACCCCTCAAATGGTCAGTAACGTCATTAGTGTTTTTTATATTGATTAGCGATGTATAACTTGCCGCATCAATGTCAAATGTATAAAAGGGCCAAGACAAAAGTGTTTCGTGGACTTAAATCAGTTCTCCCTTGAACGTGAACATTAGTTGTTCGAAATGGACGAGTTCATAGCAGTACTTACAGAAACAATCAATCAATCGTATACTTTGCCCTTTACTATTCCTAAACTTCCATACCCATTTAATTTCTCACTCACAACAGTGGATTATTCGGTACCAACACCTCATGATAACGAAATTAGCAACTTATTCCCAACTTCAACGATATCTTCCATCGAAAGCACAAGAAAATCGACAAAACCAACATCATCACTTAAATCTACTAAAGGAACATCAGTAAAATCAACAACCAAATCCGTAAAGTCGACTGCATCAACAATAAAGTCTACAACAACCAAATCTACGTTAAAGTCCACCACAGGAAAATCGACAAAACCAACATCATCGCTTATATCTACTAAAGGAACATCAGAAAAATCAACAACCAAATCCGTAGAATCGACTGCATCAACAATAAAGTCTACAACAACCAAAATCTACGTTAAAGTCCACCACAGAAAAATCGACAAAACCAACATCATCGCATATATCGTCTAAAAGAACATCAGCAATATCAAAAACCCAACCCCAAAAGTCTACAACAATCAAATCTACGTTAAAGCCCACCACAGAAGCGTCCGCTTCAAAAAAAAAATCTGCATCAATCAAATCTACGTTAAAATCTACCACAGGAACACCTGCGAAGTCTACAACTAAACAATCTGCAATAAAAACAACGCTGAAATCTACAACTGCTACAAAAAAGACAGCAACAATTAAATCGACTCTGCAATCTAAACCTCAAACGTCACAAATGAAACCAAAAGCAACTACTGTTGTCCAAAAATTAACGCAATCCAAAAAGGGTAAAAAAAAGTAAGCCAACTAAATGATGTACTTCAATTTAAAAACCGATTTAACGATTTAATTTGTATAAATTTATAGGGTTACACTACCGTACTACCCAGAACATACGAATCTTCCCACACCGCCAAAGCCAGCGGTCCCCCCCACAATTCAGAAGAGCAGGATTAAGGCTATCGTCAGTAACTTTGTGGGGAAAGCAAAAAAAAACCGGGTTGCAAGAAGTTGCTTTGAAACAGCGTTAAACGGGGCCCTAACCGTAATTGTAGCATTTCGTGAAGCTTTTGCGAACTGCTATCTCAGAGAAGACATTGATCCTGTGTTGGTAATACTAAAAATATGCTCGCGAATAATCACAAAGGCCCTACTGTCATGTCGCTCTCTCTTCGGACCCATGGTAAAACTTCAATGCGCGGGTATATTGTTCGTAGCTCTTGCTGATCTAATAAAAGAGATGGTGGAAGTAGCTCCAACACTCAGTAGTCGAGACAATAAGCTTAAATCCAATTGCCTAAAGCAGCATTTTATTAATATCGGATGTGCCTCCCTTATTTTGATTGGGGATATCGCTTACTGTTCTTTTAAGACCTTAAAAAACCCTTTTTAATGTACCGTAAATGTAATGCGTTACAAGTAAACGGATACTTACAATTCCTTATTGATAAAATAGTTTCCTCTTTTTAATTTTTAAGCCGACCAATTTTACCAGAATTCTGTGGTTCTTACCTTAATATATTTTGATGAATACCACAGGTATTTTCAAAAGTTTTTGTAAAAACCTTTTTAGTATCAATAATCTTTGAAGTTATTCCATTTACAAAAACTTAACTAATACATTCATACTTAATAATATTGAAAACGTCATTTCAAAACCGTCAATATCAGAAATCTGAAAAAACGATCAGCTTTAAATTTATTTGATGATTTAAAGAATATAATTATAAATAAATCTGCATATTACAAATAAAAAACATCGATTTATTATGTTCAGGTCAGATGGCACTGAATTGAATGTTTTGCACATTAAGATCATTATTAATTCATCTTTGTATCACCAAAATGTATTAAAATTTATCAAGCACAAGCTTCATTTTTTAATTACTATCAAACAATTCAACATCCCCAGGCGTAGTTCCCTTTAAATTCATCTATAAATCCTTTTGCCCATGGTGGCATCGCAAGTGATATCAGCCAACATCCTATAAATCAATAAATAATTTCAACATCACTCAAGCAATATAACTTAACTACCAAAAGCTATGAACGACCAGGTAAGATCCGATTTATCTTTATCTGAGGTCGACCTTTTTCCTCGACCTCCGCCTCCGCCACCGCCTTTTCCTTTTCCATAGTGGCTCTGTCCGCTTCCTCCACCACCACCTCCTCCTCCTCCTCCTCCGGAACCGATGCGTATATATCCGGGAAAATCGTACCAGTCTAAAACATGCAGTTGGTTTAGGAGCAAATACGTTACTGCCGACACCCCTAACAAGCCACCAATTATTTCAACCGGTATTATGTATTTCCATTTCTAAAAATTTAAAATTATTCGAAACTGCCAGGAACAGTTTCAAAAACTTACCCGCGCTTTAAAAATCACAAATATAAATATCCCATGATATATCGGCCACGAGAAGATCATAATATATGTCACTAAATGTTTGTAAAACTCTTTTTCGCCTAATATAAAAAATTTAAAATTATTATTATATAAATTTGCCTTTATCAGAAGGGTGGGTAATGTCTCATTCGACTTTTAATTAATTATTTCTAATTTTAAACCCAAATATGTCCCTTGCAGCAACAACTTTCGTTTTGACGATTAATGTATCGTCACGTATGTACAGAAACAGGTGGCAAAGTGAAAAGAATTGAAGTCAAAATTAAAATATGACGAAACGCTTTTAAAAACAAAGTGTTTCCGAACACGCAAAAAGCTGAACATATGTAAGCCCAGACCATTTTTATAAAAAATTTGGAATTTGAACATTATTTTAAAATATATTTATTGATTTTGTAGGAGGTCACCTTAAGAAGTACTTTCAATAAAACGAATCCGCTTGGAGCAGTAGCATTTTCACAATTTACACTAAATCAGAGCTTAAGTGTCCTTAAAGAGAAATACCTGGAGGTGACATAAGAAAAAAATACTCAGTAATCCACTAACAGCTAGTGCAACGGTTGAAAAAACAAAAATAAACGTTTTACGATTGCACATTTATATATTTTGATATTTTTTCCTATTAATTTTGGTATATATGAACTTTGAATTTATATGTTTGACGCATAAGTCAATGGCTAAATATTTTGGTTACTTCAGCAAAATTACCCTAATTCCCATATAATTTTACGCTTAAAATGAAAACCTTTAATATTTATACATGTATAAATAAGTAAACAAATTGCCAATTCTTATCTGAGTAGCCTAAAACCAAAAAAACATTAATACATTGCAATATAAATTGAATTTGGTTTTTAGCACGTGTTATTGGTTAAGAACCCATTTATTTAAATGGGGTATGAAATGTATAGTAATACCTAATAATTATAACAAATAAAATACTTGTAAGTAGCATCAGTTATATATTTTGGATTGAATAAGACGGCACTGAAATCTACTACTGCTACAAAAAAGACAGCAACTTTAAAATCGACTCTGAAATCTAAACCTCAAACGTCACAAATGAAACCAAAAGCAACCCCAACGACTGTTGTCCAAAAATTAACGCAATCCAAAAAGGGTAAAAAAAAGTAAGCCAACTAAATGATGTACTTCAATTTAAAAAACGGTTTAACGATTTAATCTGTATAAATTTTTAGGGTTACACTTCCGTATTACCCAGAGCATACGAACCTTCCCACACCGCCAAAGCCAGCGATCCCGCCCACAGTTAATACGAGGAAGTTTAAGGCTGTCGCCAGTAACTTAGTGGGGAAAGCAAAAAATAACCGGGTTGCAAGAAGTTGCTTTGAAAGAGCGTTAAACTCAGCCCTAGCCGTAATTGTAGCGTTTCGTGAAGCTTTTCAGAATTGCTATTATAGAGAAGACATAAACTCTATCCTGGTAATACTAAAAGTATGCTCGCGAATAATCACAAAGGCCCGAAACGCATGTCGCACTATCCTCGGTCCGATGGTAAAACTACGATGCACAGGGGTATTGTTTATAGCTATTACTGATCTAGCAAAAGAGATCATAGAAGTAGTTCCAACACTTAGTAGCCGAGACATTAAGCTTAAAACTAATTGCTTATTGCAGCAAATGATTAATATTGGATGTGCCGTCCTTATTTTGATCGGGGATATCGTTTACTGTTCCTTAAAGACCTTAAAAAGCCCTTTTTAAAATGTAAAACCTTACAAGTAAGGGGCAATCTCTTCAGCCTACCAACCCAACTTAAGTAAGGTAAACGGGTAAAACTTACAATTATTATTGATTAAATGGTTTCCTACTTTTAATTTCAAACCGACAAATTTAACCTGTATTCTGAATTTAAAAAATCCAGCTAGTTTAAATATACTAAAAAATCCTCTTTCAATTTAAAAAAGAAGAAGCCCTATGCTCGCGACTCTAACAAGGTGTACCACAACAAATTTGTGATTTGGGATATAAGATCCAGATCCCCCCAATTGGTTCAAAAAGTCTATGTAATATGTATTTTTTCCAAATTTTTTGACTTCTACTCCACCAGTTTTGTTTTATATCCCTTCCCAAAACCAAATTCTGCATCCGCCACTGAGTTAAGATAATTTATTTTGCTAAATGTGTTAAATAAATGAAAAATATTAAAATTTACTAAGCACAAGCTTCATTTCTTGATTACTATCAAACAATTTAACATCCCCAGGCGTAGTTCCCGTTAAATTCATCTATCAGTGCTGTTGCCCATGCTGGCATCGCAAGTGATATCAGCCAACATGCTATAAATCACTAAATAATTTCAACATCACTCAAGCAATATAACTTAACTACCATAAGCTATGATCGCCCAGGTAAGATCCGATTTATCTTTATCTGAGGTCGACCTTTTTCCTCGACCTCCGCCTCCGCCTCTTCCTCCGCCACCGCCTCCGCCACCGCCTCCGCCTCTTCCTCCGCCTTTTCCTTTTCCATAGTGGCTCTGTCCGCTTCCTCCACCACCACCTCCTCCTCCTCCTCCACCGGAATTGATGCGTATATATCCGGGAAAATCGTACCAGTCTATGACATGCAGTTGGTTCAGGAGCAGATACGTTACTGCCAACGCCCCTAACAAGCCACCAATTATTTCAACCGGTATTACGTATTTCCATTTCTAAAAATTAAAAATTATTCGAAATTGCAAGGAACAGTTTCAAAAACTTACCCGCGCTTTCAAAATCACAAATATAAATATCGCATGATATATCGGCCACGAGAAGATCATAATATATGTCACTAAATGTTTGTAAAACTCTTTTTCGCCTAATATAAAAAATTTAAAATTAATATTATATAAATTTGCCTTTATCAGAAGGGATGGTAATGGCTCATTCAATTTTTAATTAGTTATTTCAAATTTTTAAACTCAAAAATTTCCCTAAGCAGCAACAACTTTCGTTTTGGCGATTATTGTATCGTCACGTATGTACAGAAACAGGTGTCAAAGTGAAAAGAATTGAAGACAAAATTAAAATATTACAAAACGCTTTTAAAAACACGCAAAACGCTGAACATATGTAAACATAGACCATTTTTATATAAAATTTGGAATTTTAACATTATTTATTTATAATAATAATAATTTATTTATTGATTTGTAGAAGAAGGTAACCTTAAGAAGTACTTTCAATAAAACGAATCCGCTTTGAGCAGTAGCATTTTGACAATTTACATTAATTCAGAGCTAAAGTGTCCTTAAAGCGAAATACCTGGAGGTGCACATAAGAAAAAAATACACAGTAATCCACTTATAGCTAGTGTAACGGTTGAAAGAACTAAAACAAACGTTTTACGATTGCACATTTATATATTTTGATATTTTTTCCTATTAATTTTGGTATATATGAACTTTGAATTTATATGTTTGACACTTAAGTCAATGGCTAAATATTTTGGTTACATGTGCAAAAGTACCCTAATTGAAATGTATAGTAATACTTAATAATTAGAACTAAAATACTTGTAGGTAGCATCAGTTATATATTTTGAGATTGAATTAGACGGCACTGATTCCACTTACTCGCACTCGTTTACCTGTTGGCTAGACCTCCGAATCCCTGCATGCAGGCGAAGATCACCCATCAAAAAAGAGATAAGAAGAAAGCAGTACTTTCCACGAATGCTGTTCTTTTGGATACTGAGACACCCGTAACACCCATAAATCAATCACTATTATAATACTGATTCATAAGAGTTCATTACCAATTAAGAGTCAATGGCTCACTTACTTTTCAGGGACTCAAACCTGAAACACAAACAATAAGAGCCAAACCGTTTTTGCGGTGCATTTCAAAAGTTTCCAAAGATCTTAACCCTTTAAGACTTTGTAATTCCTGCAGGAAACTTTGATCCCAAAAGTCGCCGACAAAGAACAGTTCCCTCACAAAAAATAAGCGACTATGTTAGCCACGCTAAAATATCAACTAATCATTTCTTCTGCCGCGTTACTTCGTTTTATAAGTTCCCTCTAAACCGATAACCACCTGATGTGATAGCTAGAATAAAACCCTTGAGAGTTGTTAACAGATATTCGTAGGCTCACGTGAAATGTTTCGATTGAGCGCTATCACTGGAATTGAAAGTACTTTACCTGTCGAAAGCTTTGTCGGTTAAGAGTCTTAATTGCGTCTTAATGCGTCTGTTAACAGGGGTTTCTTCAGAAAATTAGATTAAGTGGCCATAAGTACGCAAAAGTTACTGATAGATAGGTAGATTGTGAGACTTCTTCAGTAATACCTTAGATGCAAATCTGTCTAATAAGTATAATAACCATACCATCCGTAGCCATGTTATATTACGATTACCGAAAAACAATATTTATCTTCGTATGTCTGCTAGCTGACATATCGAGAGTCTTTCAGTGACTTCCGATAAAGCCTTAGATGGGTAAATATACTCGATAGCAATATGCGTTCGCATTATAATGCACATCCCTTAAACGTCAAGGGCCCTTTTCTGAGGCATCCAACCGCAACAGCAATAACAGGACCATAGAGTAAACACTTGCCTTTTTTCCATGCGCTCCAGAATTTGTGTGGCGAGGCAAATATTTAGCAGCTGACACTCGTTGTGAGTGGCAGTTGAGGAGCTGGAGCTCCGGGATGGGCTTGGTATAATGCAATTTTCAGGGCGCCCCCCCTTCCCCACCCAACAAATTAAATTCAAATTGTGGACGGATGCAAATTTAATGAAACGCCAACGGCAGTGGCAAAGGCAACAACGTTGACGATGGCCAAAACCAAAGGCGGAAAACCGAAACCGGAAACCAGAAACCAAAACCGAACAACATGGGACAGGCGCAATAACCAAAATTAAAGCCGCACTAATGAGCAGAGACAATCCCGAAAGAGTAGCGCAAATGTGCCAACTACCGGGTGGCCAAAAAGTAGGCGGCATGACCGCTCTGGGCGTGGCAGCCGCTGGGATTGTGGCCACTGGATGTGGATGTGCTGGCATGCGGATGCATATGCAGCTGGCAAGTGATTTTGGCCAAAGTTAAAGTGGTTTTTACCCAGTTGCGACAAAATGTGCAGGAAGTCACGTATCCACTTCTGCAGCAAAATGAGCTAGTCCTTCGAGTTTCTAGTCCGAAATGAACTTGGTAGTACAGTTTTATTGGGAGAGCTAGTTATTATCGGCTTTGGCCGGCAAAGGCCTTCGATGTGTCACCTCGGTGATGGGCATAAAGCCGGAATCCCCCAGGCAGCGCAAGGTCACATAGCCGGAGGGCCAAACGGTCAGCCAGGTGATGGAGCCGTGGTTCAGGTTGAGCCTCGTCCAGGCGGCCGGCGGAAGCTGCAGGGCCCGCAGGATCAGGTAGCGAATGACATTCGAGTGACCCACTATGAGCAGGTAGGAGTCGTGCTCCTGCTCTGGACTGGCCCGGAAAAAGTAGCGCCTGAAGGCAGCCTCGATCCTGGGACCATCCCTCTGGTAGGCCAGCTCCAGGCTGCGAGGGCTCCGCTTCGAAGGAGGATCCCCTGGATAGGGAGTGCCCTCGGGCAGCAAGGTGCAACGTTTCATCTTCAAGGGATCGAGGTTGAGCTGCTTCAGGATGATCATGGCCGTCTCCTCGGCCCGCGGCATTGTGGAGGCCACCACGTGGTCCCAGCTCAAGTCCATTTCGCGCAACCTTTGACCCGTCCTCTCCGCCTGTCGACGACCCCGTTCCGTGAGGTGGCTGCCATCCGAGGTCTTTGTGTACTCGCCGTGTCGCACCAGGATGATGTGCCGCAGGGCGGATGACTCCTGGCCATTGGCCACTTTTTGCAGCTGCGGCTTGTCCAGATCCCAGTGATGCAGCCAGGCGCCACTGGCCAAGGATTCACGTTTTCCATCTCCCTCCGCTCCGCTTGAATAAATCGAGGACTTCTGGCCATCGAGCAACCGGATGGTCAAGTAGGTGACCAGGGAACCACAGCTCATGGCCCCCACCGAGCGCCAAACAGCCGAGTATCTCATGAGTGACGAGGTTTGAGTTGACAGATCCAAAGCAAGCTACTGGGGTTTGAAATCCCAACTTCTAAATGAAAGATGTTTTATGAAGTTGAAATGACAGAACTAGTTTCTCCAGAACTGATAAAAAGACTTATGCTCTTTTTAAATTATCCAAAAATATACTAAATTAAACTCAGTATAAGTATGACCTTTGTTTGTAATATCAGAGTATTTTTCAGGAACCGAAAATAGGAATAATAAGCACAAAAAAAATTGTTTTCAGCCACGAAACTTTTAAACACTTTAATAAAACACCCTTTTTGCGATCGGCGACTATACTTATTACAAAACTGTTCTTAAATTTAGTATCAGTATTTTTAATCAGTATTTTTAAGTGTTGAGCAACGTACTTTTAACTTTCAGTATTGATAATCGAAATACTTTCGATGAGCTGAATGAGGAAAATAGGGTCAATAAAGTTTATCGCACTCGAAACGAGTCAGTTAAATTTAATGTTTTATTTTCTTCTGCTTTTTATTTTCAAATATACCTTTTGTCATTATTCGAAGTAAAAATGAGAGTAACCAACTAAAACTCTGAGTAACCAACTTTTCTTGATATTTTAACCCGGTGATATTTTATAAATATTATTCCTGTCTAAATGGTCTATTCAAAAAACTTTCATCGCTCATTTGAGCATTGTAAGGAACCAACCCATTACTGGTATAACTCCATTGCAATGGCAATCAACTTGACTCTACAGTGGGTTTTGTCGCACTTTTAAAAGTTTATTCAGATTCGAATCGCCCGTTCTTGATTAGCATTCAAGACAAAGAGGAAGGGGCTTAAAAGAGTTAGGAAAGTGGACTCTTGAAAGGTTTTGGTCAACTTTTGTGTCAAAGTTATTTTACCCTCGGCAGGATACTCGAGAGCAGAACTTTTGAGCGGCAAACTTTACCCCCCCCACACACAATCAGGCGGCGAAAAACCGAATAAGTTGGCAAAGGTGATGCCATGGAAAACTGTGAACTGCGATGTGAAAGCCATTCGGATGGGAAATCTCCAGTAAATGAGTGCCCCTTTAAGTCTCTGGGCACGGCATGGGCATTTAATTCCTGCCAGTCAGCCGGAAAAGGGCAACTGGCCTATCATTGGCCAAATAACTTTGTCCAAGTTTTTGCTTCATTTAATTTCAGTGACTCGGTGCCGCGGGGAAAAATGCAAAGGCTGCGTCATGGCCATCAGGAATGTGGCGACCAGTACCACCGGGATATCCACAAGTGGCTGGCCATGACGGACTCAGTCTGTTGCCCGTCGGATTTGGCCTAATGAAGTTGACTGAAACTTTTGACATGCCACCAGCCATCGAGGGACGTCCAGAATGCAGAAGTTGGAAAGTTTCCGAGGGTTAAACCCCATCGATTGGTGACCGCATGGAATTGAAATTAAGAGAGTTTCCTGAACAGATCAGCCTAATGCCGGTTTATATGTTCTCAATGTAGGATTCTGTGGTAAATGTAGCTCGACGGCTTATTTCAATCATTTCACCCTGACATCTTTATTAAGCCAGGTACACACTGAACAAATGTGTCCTTAATGGATTGGCTGGTTAAAATATGTGTTTTATTGAGAATTGTATGTAATATACCTTTCTTTATAAACAAGGTATAAAATTTACATGCTTAAAATATTAAACTTTTTGACTATGAGGTTTATATAAAACTAATTGTTGCATGACTTTTGCTTAAAGGTGTCTTTAAGATGCACAGAAAAATTAGTTTTGGAATACTGCTATTTATTTTAGACACCTCCAAAAGGGATTTCAAAACTGTGGAATTGTAGAATATCATGTGGAAAACATTTTAACTAATATTGTTTTACTTAAGATTTATATTTAGATAATGCTAACTTGTTCAGGAAACCAAGACCTGATTTCTACTATAACATATTTATCAGGAATTTTTTTCTAAAATTTCAGCAATGTAATTTAAACTGAGCTATATTTTTCCTGTGCAACCGCACCCACCTGAGCTTGGCCTTGTGCTCGTGCACATATTCATTCACTACTTTTGTGGGGTCCTCGGAATAAGCCACTTGAAGTAACCATAAAACAGATCTCGCATTGTGCGGCCTAGAAACGTGGGGATTACTCTTACAAGGTGTTTGAATAAGTAGGTGTGTGTGTGTGTGAAAGGCGGTGCCAGAGGAATAGTGAGTGTGAATGGCAGACAAGTCAATTTAAAGTTGTAATTCATGTCCTGGGAACTTCCTTGAGCTGCATTGAAATACATTCAATGCAGGGGGCTTAGATGGCAATTTAATTTACCAAATAATGGATATTACAAATGTGCATCTGTATAAATTGCATGGTAAATGTCCTGCAGAAGCACATAGCTTAAAGCCATTTTTAATTAAATTATTAAAAAATTATCCATACCAAAGTGCGTAAATCCTTTGAAGCGCCAAAAGAGTTGACAAGAAATTCGCATTTTTTCATTAGCCAAGGGCATTGCAACTTAATATATATTTACAGCTGCCATTTTTGACCCCTGGGTTACCCCTTTTAATTAATTGCCATCCGTTTCAGAGGAGAAATAATTTGGCCTTACATTTTCCACAAATGTGCAAAAGCCATCTCCATAATCACTGCAGTGCCCTGCACTTCTGTATAGTTTATGTTTTCAATTTCAGCAGAATTAAACTGAAACGAGAACGAGTACGAGTACGAGAAAAGCTATTAACTTGATAATCCCGAACCATCTGTATAGCTGCTTTTCGGTGAGTGCGGGCAACTGGGGCAGCTGACACCATTTCCTTCTTGAATTTGCAAACAAATTTACACGAATTTGATTATTATTATGATGGCAATTTGCAAAAATGTCATCCTTCAAGCAAAAAAAAGGAACGAGCGAGCGGAAATTTCTCATTGCACAAAGTGGGGCAGCATCTTCATCTCCAGCGCCCCATCTTCCTGG